ACGTAGTGTCTTGATAGATTCGTAAGTCTCACAAATTGAGCGCAGTGACATGAAGTCCTTCGATGAGTGGTAATGTGATGATAATTTCCCAAGTTTATTGTGGAATATTCTAGGAATATATGGGTCTAGCTTCTTATAAACCCCAACCGTTTTCACATGAGCAACAGTATCTAGACGCAGGTCGATATTTCTGCAGAAAAGTGAGTGCGTGTGTTAATGAGGCTGTGGTAAAGTAGTCATCCCATGGAGAGCACCTGAGTAGCTCGATGAGTACTTCCCACTCTGTATTCTTACAGCTTCTGTGCCGAGTATAATTTGAAGATTGTTTATTTTTCTCATTTGGAGGAAGAATTGGTAAGCAGCAGAGTACCATCCTATGGTCACTGTTAGAAAATTCGCTACTAACGTGGGTAGTGATAGGGATGATGTCACAACAAAAGACTAGGTCAAGCGTACTATCTCCACGCGTGGGTTGCTGGATGTATTGCTCCCAGTCATCGATGTCTATGACAGCAAGTATTCCATCAAAGGGTTGTGGGCCACGACCGACCTCCCAGTTCACTTCAGGTAAGTTAAAGTCACCTGCAATCAGTTTGAAGTCAACATTGAGGGATCCAGCGTGGGCAAATGACCTAGCCATCAGTTCATCATTTTCTTTTGTTGAACATGGGGCTCTATACACACAGCCTATGAGGATTTTGTAGTTGGTACCTTTTATAACGATCCGAAGTGAGTCCGGCAGATCATTGAAGATATCATCTCCAATCTTATTTGAGGTAGCAAGGCTACATACATGGATCAAACAGCCTCCACCACGCTTGTGGTCACAATTAGTGCGACACACACTATTGTTCTAAGACCGGATGTTTCATTGAGTAACGAGCGGGCATTAACAAGCAGAAGCGTGGAAAGGCTACTATGGCTTGCAAAGTAACTTACTATGTCCCTTGAGCCTCGGTAAGTGGAAGATTTTCTGGTATTCAGTCAGCTAGACGATGCACCACCTATGTCTCGGGCGTGACAGGACTCAACAGTGGGGTGTACCGGTGTGACTGGCGAGTTTCTGTCCCTCACAAGTATATGATTACTAAGTTTTTCATTGCACTTATGGGTTGTTAACGTGCACCTCTCCTTCACCGTTGGCGCGAGGTGTGGTTTATGACCGGTGTAAGTCGAGGAAATTGGTTCCAGCCTTGCGTTATCGGAGGGTCTAAAAAGCCTAAACACCATGGGCGTACATATTGTGCAGGATCCAAAAAATCTTGGTATGGTTCATAAGTGGGGAAGTTTCTTGCAGGGGGTGTACATCTGTTCCCAAAGTATTGACTAGGATTATTAAGATGCACAGCTGAACAGTGGTTAGGTGTTTGTGATATGTAGGACATTTGAGCGTTAGGTACGCTACTCGGCACCAAGTTATGACCCCTGTGATTAAAGGGACGTGGTCCGAAGAAGTGTCTAGTGTGATGCAACCTCCAGTTGTCGCGGCACTCATTTCTGAAAGAAGGGGTTTGACGGAAAACTTGCCTTTTGGGTTCGTGTATTGCCAGTGTCTTAGCTATGAAATATTCTTCTCCGTCATCAGAAAGCGCGCGCCTGAAATGGTCCTTCTTCAAAAACGTTTTGGCTTTAGATGGTGATGTTTCCCTCGAACTTCTGAGTTTTCTGTCACACAGCGGTCTTCTGTTTATGGTTACCCTAGGGGTACTAATGGTTTTCTTTTTACGAACAACTTAAGGATCAGGTTTGCTTGTAGCTAGATTTGACTGAGACTGTTGCACGGAGGAAGAGGTATATCCAACAGGAGTACTAACCATGTCAGCACTTTCTGATGGTCTGTTCGTGCACACAGCAGCCTCTGAGTTCAGAGGTAATGAACCGGTCAGACTACTCTTTTTTGTTTTCTGCATTGGCACGCGGTTTCGTCTTGTGCAATAGCAATATTTTTAAGGCTGCTATGTAACCTTATGTGGTCTTGTAGTTTAACAAATCTTTTGGCGTCAAATGAGGTAGTGAACTTAAAGATCATGGGGCAGCTGGACTGCGCTGACTTTTTGAGGAGGCGCTTACGGTCGCAGTGTATTCCTGTCACACCGCATGGCTTTAATACCTTTGTCTTAACTACATCCAGGAGTAGGGTACCAGGTGTGTTATAGACGATGGCCTGTCGGGAGGACGACGGTCTCTTCATTACCCCGTCGCCAAGTGGTCTATTGAGTTTTCTGCTTTCACCGCATGGTCTTCAGCTAAATTCTCATGCTTCCCTAGAAGATATGCCAATGGATAGAAAGCCTCAACTATTCTCCGAATTTCTACCGTCACGGTCTTAATGTTATCGATCTCTTTCCTGTGGTCGTTAATACTGCTACTCATGGCTGATATGATATCTTTTGTTCTGACAAAAGGCGTGCGGCATACCAGATAGTCGAGATCTGAATTACGCGGAGTAACAATGCTTCTGTCACACAGAAGAGCACTGGAATGGCCAAGTCTTTGCTTTTTGTCACTACAGCAATCGATTCTAGAACGTTTAGCCCTAGATCTACCCATTTAAAAAGACGTTAAAATCGAAGCTTGTTGTTAAAATAGAAAAACAGCGGACGACCATACGTAGTATACCAAAACGTTGGTAATACAGTATGTGGGGAGAATAGCGGGGCTGTAAGCCAAATATACGGAGTGGACTGAAATATTACCACAAAAATACAGTAATAAGTAGTCAGACACAACAGGAAATCTGCAAATTGATATAGTCACGGTCTGTCTAAGATTCTCTTTTGACATTTGCTGCCCACACCTTGAGAAGCTCTGAGTTTAAAGCAAAAAGTAGTTTTAAGTAGAAACCTACTCTGGAGACAAAAGACCTAATTTTCTAATATGGCAAACATTCAGCAGTTTACGTCTTGTAAAACCTCCCCCAATATGCGTAAATCAGTCAAAGGACTTACCGGTGGAAACAGATAGATCATGATGTTTGTCCTGATATCTGTTCATCAGGCTGTTTATTCGTTTACTTACACAGTGATTTCATTACTACAAATGCCTCTGGGCAAGCGGGTGGCTGTCTTGGTTTGAAGCGATCTTCGAGTGCTAAAAATTCTTGAATACACCCCCTTCTCTAGTCCTAATAGTTTTCCTAGCATCAAATTAAACTGACGTCAAACATTTTTCGTCGTCATCCGACACCTATTTTCGAAGCATCACTCCCAGAAATGCGGAACCTGCTCCTTGGAGGCAAGTTAAAACTATGCCTATAACTCTGCCGTCCTCTGGATCAGGTATGAGGTTTAGGACCATCGCCACTGCCTCTCAATTTTTGAGCTATGCAGAAATTACTTCTACTTTTGCCTGAAACCTCACTGAAATTTTTCATAGATCCGCAATAAACTGCTCACAAGCGCAGAACGTTTACGTCGCATATGGTCGACCTCTTGCGGCTGAATAAAAAAGTGCAACTGCACTTCATCTGACACATGTCTCGTAGAGGAAAAGGCGTTAAAACGGAACTCACCTATTAGTTTAGTAACAGTAAGTGGTGAACCCTTTCCAGGTTCTGAACGCTCGTGTATAACCATCTTGGTTACTAATATTATTCGCATAACTTAAATAGTTGTGATTAGCACCGTTCGAAATACTTCATATTATTTCATCTTCCTGTGATGTCAGATGTTAGGGATTCCAAGTAGCATGGCAAATGTTTGACAGTGTCTTTGAAGGTCGTTCTAGCGACTGCTGAAATAACTGATTGGGTTTCAGCATTTTGAATGAAGAGGCGGTTTTTCATAGAATCATGAGGCACGAATGGTTATTTTAGCTGTTGTTGTGGTGGCCTCCAGAATCGCTCCTTTTTAGGGCACAGTGATCATAATAATATTATTTGCAAAGGGCCACAGTCCATCCGGGCGTTCTGTTGTAGCCTCGATGAGATGCTTTCCGTCGCACACTCCGGACCAATGTATATCGGAGACGCATTTATTGCCAGCTTTTTGGTGGTGGAATTCTGCCTCGAGGGGTTTTCGGCAGGGCTGAGACCCTTTCTTCCCGTAGTACTGAAATCCAGAATTCCCGCTTTATCGATGAAAGTGAGTGTTTGAGTCACTTCGGGGCGGTTAATGGGACGAATCATTGAATAATCAATGTTTACAGCTGTTCAAAGGAGCACCAATCAGCCCAAATTGGACTCCTAAATTGACTTTCCCGTCCTCCAAAGAGGCAGCCGGTTTAATAACCGACACATTCGATTCTAGCTGAGGAATCAGTCTGCAACGTGGTGGCTGCGACAAGCATGAAAATGGTCACAGCACTATTCCTTTCACCGAGGGGTGCAAGGTGCCAGATGAAACCCACACCATGTCTAAAACTGAAGGAAGACGCTAAGGATTATATCGGGTAGCTGCTCCGCTTTACCTTGTAAGGGCCTATAAAATTGTTGTCACCAATAAACTACGACCAAACAAATGGCGTGGCGCTTCTGCTGTTAATCTGCTCAAGTTAAATGACGGTGCTCTGAAGTCTTCCACAGTTAGGCATCTGCAGTTGTCTGTCAAGGAGTTCAGGTTATTCAGGAGGAAGTCTTCTGCCTCAAAATCAGTGTTTAGGCATACAACGGTCAGGTCAAAATCTTTCCCCTTTCACTTTAGTCGACAGAAACTAAAAAGGTCACCATTTTTGAAAGCAACCCCACATTCCGCCCCTCGAAAATAAACAACTCTGCTACTTGCAATCATAAGAGAAGCACAGTGGAACAAAAGACTCGAGCTTTAATACCTAGGTGAAAGACTACAAAAATTATCACCTCAGTTTACTTGCTGTATTGGTGTTGGACGGTGTTGGTTCGAGTGACCGCTACTGATAAGTAGTTTGATCATGTATATTACCTACTATTTAAGCTACCCGAAAGCGTTTTGTAGTGTTACTAATAGAACGAAGAATATGTTTAGACATGTAGGAAACACCATTTTATTGCGACTCAATTGTTTTTCTTCTTTGAAATCCTATAAATTTCGCCATTTCAAGGTATCGTCATTAGCGCGTTGAACAAGAGTTTTTGCAAATGTCAATGCAAGAGTTCTCCGATAACTTGTCCACTTTGTCGTACATGTCGCGACATCGTATCCCAACATGGATATATGATTCAAAAAGTAAAACCTTTTTTGGTCGGACTTTAAAGAGTTGGGGTGGGTTTGAAGACTAGTTTTCAAACAGTTTTAGCTTTATGCATTTTGTTCTATCTCGTGTATTATGCTTGCCTGGCTGGATTTTTCACCGGCCTTCTTTGGCTCGTGCTGTATTTTAATGTCCCAGAAGAATATCCTGCCAGAACTGGGAAGCAAAGTCTACTGGATTTCAAACCAGGTATATGTAACTATTTGCTAACTTTCCGATTCTAACAGGTTTGGGTTTCCGACCACTTCTTGATGTACAAAAGTCTCTCATACATTTTTCCACCCATGATTCTCAGACATACCTTCCATATGCAGAGAATATTAATGCTTTTCTGGATACGTATAGACAAGTTAATTCAAAACCTGATAGTCAGTTCGCCAGTTGTGTTGGCAAGGCAGGAGATACAAAAGATGTCGACAAAGTGTGCAAATTTTCACTTGACAAATTGGGACCTTGCAACGAGAAAAACGACTATGGTTATAGTAAAGGTTCTCCTTGTGTGTTGCTCAAAATAAACAAAGTAAGACTTTGTTTTCATACTTTTTCAAGTTTATTTGTCTAGTGATATATGCCAAGCATATGTTTAGCTACCATCTGTAGGATTCACTTCTCAAACACTGCCAATAACTCGTGTAACTGTATTTATTTATCTGTAGTTGCAGACCAAAAAAGGAAAAACAAATTGAATAAAGGGCAAACAAGGGGGAAATGATGTGAAAGCCTTATGCAAAGATACAGCGATATTAGTGGAGAAATGCAACTAATTTCCCTATTTGACGCCTTCTGCCGATTATTGTTTCACAAGATGTGTACTGCAAATAGCTCTTAAGGGTGGTGCAACTTAGTGGTCATCAAAACAGTTAATAACGCGAAGATTTTTAGAACTATTGTTTCAGAAACATGACGGACATTCGTAAAATCTCATTTTCTAAAATGATAGACGCTATTCAAATAATAAGTGTCACAAAAAATGCAGATTATATTCCTCACAGAAGTAGCATTAGTTACCTGCATCACTTTTGGTACTGATATGGAAAACGTATAAAACTTTAAATTTCGAAAGGCTAAAAGCTAAATGTTAAACGTTTGTTAACTCGGTACTTTCACCGCAACCATTAGAACAAATAATCCCTGTTGATTTATTCATTATTTCATATCAACTGGTATGTTTTTCTTTCTCCTTATATACTTGGCTTAAGTTTTTTCTGTTCCTTGCCCCTTTTGATAATTTTCGGAAGTATGGTAACTTGGTTCTTTGTAACCTCACATAGCTCCACGTTGGTTTGCTTTTATGTAATTCCGGTTCAAAATATTTGTGAACAAGGTTCAATGTTATGGAGTTGAAAGGGGTTTAGTTGGAAGCGAAATGTTGTCAGCGTGTAATTGAGGTCATTACAGAATGAGCTTAAAAATAGCTAGGGGACTAACTTCGTTTTCCAAATTTTAAGGTGTGAAGCGATAAATATTTCGGATTTCTTGAGGTCTGTAAGAGCACTTTATTGAAACAGACCTTATCATCAAGAGTTGTATGTTTGTCTGTTATCTGACTAGTGATTAATGGTTTTCACTACTGTTCGATTATTTCTATGTAGCTTACACCTTTAGGTAGGTGTCAATGACCTCATGAGTTTGAAAACTGCGTGGTTCTGATGAACGATATTCATATATGTGTGCAAATGACTTCATTCTCATAGTTGTAAGTTCTGGTTTCGCTTTTCAGATAGGAGTTAAAGGTTGGTTTGTTGTTTGAAAATTCCCCAAATGATGTGCTGAAACTTGAGTTGGGTGAGAAAAGTCAGTAACCACCATTTCATTTAACCTCAAAAATAGGTGGTGAATTCAAACCACTCGACAAAACTCAAACCCACCTTCCCTGGTGTGTTTATTTAGCATACTCAGTACTTGCCTATCTTAGCAATATACCTGTTGAAGTAGAAGTGAAATGAAAGATTCATAGTAATGATAAGGTTTCGTAGCGCTTTGTGACTTGTCTGTTTATTGTCCTGAGTCTTGGAATAATTCATTCTTGATACCTGTGGTCTATGATATAAACGAAGTTTGTCACTGAAAATTTTGAGTGATATATATGTACATAAATGTACATATAAAGGCGTCATTCAAACCCTATTTACTCAGACATTTTAGCGTCTTCTTAGTTTACCTTAACTTAAAGCTTATATCATTTGCAAATACGTTTCCAAGTGTAATATTGACTATCTGCTGAAAAAAGGTAGGGATCAGTTGATAGGTTGATGTGTGAATAGTACTTAGATCTAGTCAAGGTTACCATCAAGGTCAGTGTAAGTAGCTCAAAGGAATTCAACCTCCAGGCCTGTGCCAGATGGAGGTACTCGTAACTCAATAAATCGATCCTTACCCTGTATGCAGGATAAGAGAATTTCTTATCTTTCAAGTCCTAACCGCTTATCTACTTCATAAGTCTCATTATTTATAGTTAGTCCACATATATGGTGAACAATCAAATATCTTGCTTCATATGTTAAGACATTGGTCCTAATAACTCGATGTAAACGTCACTGACTACAAGACTGGATGACGTGGCTTCGAATCCCACAATACACGCCAATTTCTTCGAAGTTGCAGATACACCCTTCTGACGAGTGACAGAAAACGCGAAACTGAAACTCACGGCTTCTGGTAGACAGTCTTCAGCCAATTGACATTTTCAATCTTTCCTATGTCTTGATTCGGACTTTCTTCCTTTCTCAAATAAGAAAATCCTGGACAAGTACTTAAAAATGGAACTTTGGTTCTTTGTTTTAAGCGCTCGACTTTTAATCAATGGGTCATGGAGTCAAGCTTTTCACCACTCACAGAAGTTTCAGCGATAAGGTATCATAAGCCCACACTCGAAAGATTTGGTTCACTGCGTAGTCCCAAAACCCGCAAATGGTCTCTGAGTTACGTTTAAGAAAATAAAATACAAGTTTATAAATTTGTATAATGATATTATTGAGAAAAATATCTTCGTTGAATTCCTTTTCCTTACGGTATTTTTATTTTACTATAGCAGAATTCAACCAACTCATTTTGTCAGAAACCACTCTTTATGGTATCAACAGTATATGCTGATTGATATGACTTATCAATCATATTTTACACAGCTCAGTGCGAACTTGAACTGTTTTGCATACAAAGACTTAACATGAAACTATTCACAACTCAAGATTTATGAGTCTGTGGCTCGTCAAATATGTACCAGTAGTATTATGACTTGTAAATACTCCATAATAAAGCGTTTCTGAGTGCATCACAAGATAGAATATTTCAAAGTTTACGCGAAAATTTAGCAATCAGGCTATTAAACTTAGAACCGCAGAGTCGTAAATTCACTTATTGTTCACCTTCTGTTCATTCTAGCATGTTAACTACTGTTCCGAAGTAACGACTAGTTAGGTTAAAATTGCAATCAACTTCCTGAAATGGATACTTTAATTTTTTAACTCTCGCAAGGATCAATCTGTTGTGTGCTTTGATTTTCCAAAGCAAGTTTTCAAGTATGTACTTCAAATTTCACGATTAATGGGAATCACATAAAGTTGTGACCAATTGTCTTGAGTTCTTTTGTCAGATGTTTGGACAGAAAAAGTTAATAACTTGTCAACCACGTAATGGCTGATTATTTTAATTATCATCTAGAAAAGTGAAAACAAAAAAAGTCGCTAATTTCTCAAGATAAGAAGCTTCGGGCAATTAATCCCAATTCACCGTCAACCAATCAATGCTAATAACATAACCATGATTAAAAACTACCTTCTCACGGAAAAAATCAGCTGTTCAGAGTACATTGTTTCACTTTCTGAGAATTAACCATTCCATTGGAAGAGACTTTTTGTATATTGGATAAACTATATTCACTCACTTAAATAAGGGCACCAGCAGTTGTGTATTCAAACAAACAAAACACAGTTAAAGAAGCGGAAGCAACTTTGACGTAAGTCACATAAAACTAGCAAGTTATTTCATCGCAACAATATGCCATTTTCAGACAAATAAATGAGGGATATTATGCAATCAGGTGTCAACTGTGATTGGTTAGCCTAAGTCAGATGGTAACTTTTGGATGTATAACAGAGTTGTTGTTACAGGGGCGATTTTCGAACGTTAGAAATACATAACTTATCACAAACTCTTAAAAAATTAAATTCTGCTTTCACAAGAGTCTGGAAAATACATATGATTCGAGGCATTTATTCGTATGAGAGGTTTTGTAATAATATTCAGAAGGTAAGTAGCTTGAAACAATACAAATTGAAACCCAAACTTCATTAGACAAAAAATAACGATGAGATGCTAATGCTTTATGGTGCATTAAAAGGTATGACTAACTGTGCAGGATATAAAGCAGTTGCAAAAAGTAGTCATTTTTATGTAGATCTTACTTCTCAACAATCATTTAAAATCCAAAGAAACATACGTATTTTTAAGAGAAGAATATTTTTCTGCGCTTTAAAAATTGCTTTCTTTGCAGCTGAATTTCAACAATTATAATTTTAGGAAAATCATTACATCTACCTTAAAAATGTGCTGCAAAACAACGTGACCGTCTTGGCAGATCCGTATGTGTTCTCGTTTGTGTTTTGAACACATTTCGTCATGTTGACATGCCGAAAAAGTAAAGACAACTGAAATATCAACAGAAATGCACTGAAATCAAAAATATACATTTTAAGCATTTTTCAAAAGTTCTTTTTGTCAGATGAATATACTGTGTAATTCTCTTATGAAGAGAAAAATGGTAATTTACGCATGTGGGATGCTGTCACACAAGAAACTGCTCCTACACTGGTCTTGATTTTTCATAGAAATTGGTTGTCATGACAGTTTATATTTGACAGTTTGAAAGTTCCGTGTGTATGTTTAAGCTGAGTTTACTAGGGAATATTTTTAATTGTGAATGACTCTTTTAATATGGAAACTATAAACTCTTAATATTTTGTCATTGTCTAGTTTAGATACTTAATGGTTGATAATTGAAGGTTTTGTTACAGGAATCTCGTCGGTTTTATTGCGCTGTTAATTTCATTTTTACCAGTACAGGCTTTCAATATGAGCTTAAGTGTTATCTTCACTTGACTTACGTACATATTTTGTTGTTATGCTGGACTAAATAATCAGTGTAAAAATGAAGATTATTTCGTTTGTTGTACATACAGTCATGTAAGTGCGAAACAATATTATAGCAGTCTTAGTATTAGAAGTGGTTTACATACATAAACAGTAATTAGGCTCAATCCGGTTAAAATCTGTCAAGTTATAGCCAAGTCAATTATAACAATAAATATTCAGGCATAATTAAGGCATCCGCATAGGAGCCCAAATGCCAACAGAGGTCGATTAGTACGATCCAGTATAACTACAGTGAATTGTAAGTAACAACAAATAATGATAATCTAGTAGTGCCAAAATTTTCAAAAGAGCATTAAACTGATGAATAGAAGTAGCCACAAATTGTATCATGCTCATAGTTTGCACTTATGATATGAAGTAATGTTTCTATAAGTTGTCAGATAATTCAGGATTGTGCTTCTTAAAGTGCGAAAGATCGTACCCCAGTGGCTTAGTGGATAAAGCCTTAGCATTTGAAGCGATGGATTTATTAACAGCAATGCACCAACAGTGATCTCATTTTTCTGGGATATGAAAAGAAACATTTGCGTTAATCATCTTTATATTCCACTTAGACTACTAAACATATATCGTGACTACATAAGATTTGAAATTCCAAGGAGGAACAATACCAGACTAAGATATTTTACCTACCAAAATTATTGGACGTTTGTTTCATCCCCAGATTCAAACTTCTCTGAACTGATTATTATCGGCTACAAAAAGCATAGAAATCAAAACTCTCAGATGACCCTGTAAATGCTACCAGTTAAATAGTAGATCAAAATATAGCACTTTAAATTTTATGACTTTTTATATTTCCCATCTTCGAAAAATGTGGAATATTAAATACGGTTAATTAAGGACTAAAATTGTTGCTGACAGCACAGAAACTGCTTGAGAGACCTTATAAACAACTGGAATTAGGTCATTTCATCATTAGCTCACATAATTAAATAACTTAACTAACAAAGTCATGCTCATTTAGTTAGTCGCTGGACAGAAAAAATTGACTTAGAACTTCCCATAGAAGTTCGTTGGTTCAATTTGCCAAACTTTACAGCAGAATACAACAGCAACAACATAGAAAACATTCATATCAAAGTGGGCAAAAGCGTATAGGAGAAGAAGTAATTTCAAAAATGACAGTAAAAGAATGAATGCATTCCCACCACTGTGACCGATTTACAGCCATCAACAAGGGTCTCCAGTCATTGATTCATTTCTTCTGGAAGAATCTAACCGAGCAATCCGCACATATCTACATCGTTCGGACCATCAATCAGAGACTTCATGAACTGGTGCCATGTCTTGGTATGGTCACTCTGATCCTTCTTTCTCCCAATGTAATCCTACTTCAGCTAACATTGCAAGTTGAGTTAGGCGATGGTTTGGATGATACAGTACATCCCCATGTCACCTTAGTCGGTGAATGTTCACAACCTCATCTACTGACTCCTCTGTCTTGTCCAGTACTCATCTACTAGCTCCGTCATTGATCACACGGTGATTCTGCTTTGCATGAGCAATGCTGTGAGGATACGTGTGATAAAGTACTTGCAATCTTTTCACCTCTTCTACTTTCAAGGGTCATGTTCTACAGTCGTATAATACGATAAGGAGTACTACTTTGCAGTACACCAATCCTTTCATAGGTAGTCGAATGTCCTGCTGGCTCCAAAGATAACGGAATTCGGAAAATGGTATGCAGACGTCCTGTATCTGAGGTGAGATTTCGTTCGCGCTGATACAACTCCCCATATAAGTGGAGTGGTCGACTTGTTCCACCATTTCACATCTCATCCTTAAACTGGATGTAGAAGAAGACCAGTCCCGGAGCCTTATCTTACATTTGAGAGATGAGAAATAGACGTCAACCCCACTTGGATCTTTGCTGAAGGTTTCCAGAAGACCTTAGACTTTTTTTAGCGTCTTCAACTAACAGAAGAACGTTCTCTGAGGACTTCAAATCAATCACATACCCTTCAGGGAGTAGGTCAATCCCTTTCAAGTCAAACTCACCTCAGGTTATGTCCACTAACAGATTTATAGCTAAATCAAATGGGAACGGTGGCAGAAAGCATCCCTGATGGACATCGCTAGTTGTGTTCAAATCATATGACAACTCTCCATGATCATTTACATGATTGTGTGAATTCTGATAGAAAGCTTTTGTTAGCCTTACATAATTTCTCAATACTAATTTCACAGTCGGACACTGACACAACACCTCACCATCAACAGAGTAGATTGCAGCCTTCAGGTCAATAAATATAAGGATTATTGGCCGGTAAATATGCCTGTAGTCCATAACCTGATGAAGGGTGAAAGATTGGTCAATGCACTGTCGTCTAGGTTTGAAAGCTGCTGTTTTTCTGAAGTTCGTTGTTCTCGAGCTCCAGTTAAGTGTCGGATAAATATGAACCCAAGGATCTTAGATATGATGTTATTTAGACTGATCCCCCATGGTTATTACAAGCAAACTTCTCTCTTCTTTTTATAAACTGTAATGATCAGGGATGTAAACCAGCTTGATAGAAGTACCTCTGGTTCCCATATGCTACCTAGTTCCTGAGTTGTTCTACTTAATAATTTACTAACTCCTTCCTGAAACACTTCTGGTGGCAAACCATCAGGTTTCACCGCTTTGTATAGTCTTAGGCTAGAAACAGCCTTCTCAACTTCGAATAAGCATTGATAGTTTTGTGGAAATACTGATAAAACATTTTCGTTAGGTAGAACATGTAAAAACAGTTAACTCCTGTTTCATCGTTGTTCATGAATGTTGGGCGGTGCACGTCTATTTGAACCACTAGGAAAGCATTGTTCAGCTTAATGGCTTGATTTGTCAGTGAAATTGTTCCTCCTTAGCTGGTCGGTTAACTTGTTGCACATGCTTAGCTATCTTTTTCATAGTATGTGACAATGACTGAAGGGAGACTAAGCTGAAAGATACTTAATGATTACCGTACAAAAGCAGTATTAACATGTAAGCTATTGACGATTGATATGAGCTGTAATTAAAGGTGAAGGCTAGCTGTTTATGATTATCGAGATGATGGGAATAAAATATTCCAACAGCAAAAGTGTAGTTACATATTTAGAAGTTTGAAAATTTTATTAATTCACCTTTTTGCTTGTCCTTCACTCATTTTTCTTTTCTTTATTAAAATGCCTTTCTATTTTTGGTGGTCTGTGTTTTTGGGCTTTTATGAAGTGTAGCACTTTGAACAGATGTACTTTGAAATTTCAACTCCTTACATCGTTAAAGTGTAAACGTCAACTGATTCCATTTCACTGCTTTGTAAGTATTTCAATGCAATGAGAGGTTCAAGAAGATACACTCATAGCTATTGATAGTTATGAAAACGAAAGTTAACTGAATATTGATACCTCACTTCAAAAACAAACAAAATTTGAGAAAATTGATTCGTATATGATTTTTAAAGAATTGTATTCCATAATATTTTTTTATCTTCTCAATGTTGAAGATTCACTTTTTTGATAAGAAATTATCGATGAAATATACCCATTTATTCATTAACAAGAACAAGGCATGTATCAGCGAAGAAATATTTCTTTTCGACCATTATTATTGTAGGTGTATGGGTGGTTGCCTTCTCTTGGTGATTCAGCTCCCTCCAATGATATCCTAGTTAATTGTTCTGGTCAAGTGAGTTCATTTTATTAATAATATTGTTATTTGTACTTTGGGTTCCTAGTGGAACATTGGGGTTCAGTACCACATCGCCATTTCACTCTCCTCTCTGCAGTCTTTTGAACCTGGCTCCACGACTGCTCACAAGCTTTCATTTCTTCCTCACATGATCTCCTTGATGTTACCCTCGCCTCGGACGCCCAGTTCGTCGTTTCCCCTTTGGGTTCCACTCGGGGGCTCTGCCAGGCACGTGATGTCCCCAAATGACCTCAGTGTATGCCCAGTCCAATCCATCTCCACTTTCTTCTGTATATTAGTTGGGTGATAGGTTCTTGGTTGGTTCGTTGCCAGACAACCAGAGTTGCTTGTTGCTTATTCTTATAATTCTGGTCATCTGATTTGATCTTTAGTATCGAGTGAGGGTAGGCGGCAGCTGTTGATGATGTACATCTGTAGTTTGTTGAAGATGCTTTTTTTTCGTGACGCGCCAAGTTTCTGAGCCATCACACGGAAGCACTGATGTGACATTAGTGTTGGAAATCCGGATGTTGTTCACGCTTCATGCTGAGTGTAGTGCAGTACAGTGGATCTCTACACTGGTTTCAGATTGATGCAGGAAGGCCTGTCTTGCTGTCTTTCCGATGCTGGCTGCTTTGACATCCTCATCTGTGTCACCGCTTGTAGTTGAGACGATGCTGCCTAGGTGGTAGGTGAAAGAAACAACTCCGTTTAGATTTCTCCTATTGCTGGTGATTGGTGCTTGTTGCTTGTTGTTGCTGTTGTTGGCTGGGTATCTTCTCACCTCTATCTCCTCTACGTTCACCAGAAAGAAGTCCTGTTTTCGCTGCCTCGCCTCTTCTACCAACTTGTTGGTTTTCGCCTGTATAAATCATTCATAATATAAAAATAAATTACGATGCTAATCAACTACAATTCGCTTATCTTTGCTGCCTGATAGTATTCCATTGTATGTGAGGTAACCAACTGATGGGAGCATTGAGAAAGTCAACCATAATGAAATTGTCAGTGAATACTCGATATGATATGTGTCATTAATGTCCAATCCCCGTTTATAATAAAGAATTACATTTTATCGCAGACAGATTCGCTTAGTGAACATATCAGTTCATAAAGTTGGAGACTAAAAGTCATAATCTTCTATAAAGTTGTTGACTCAATCGCTTCATACAACTACGAAAACGAATGCTTGTCTTCAGCCTCAAAAATGATAATAAATAGGTACTCTAGGCGAAGTTTAAAATTAGAAAGAAACCTGTATCCAGTACTACATAATTGGTGCTAGTTATTTTTCCAATATGTCCTTCATTGAAATACTGTTACTAGTGGTTAGTTTTATATTATCCTATTACTAGAATATTTACTCTATGCTAGTGTTTACAGTACAATATCTGCGTCACGACTATTTTCAACCATTAATCTGTTGGGACGTCCATCGATTTTTCTCTTCTTTCCTTTCTAAATTTCTTCCACTAACTATTGCTAGACAGGAAATTGGATATACTTTTTTGTTGTATTAGTTTGTGTGGTTGTGTGTTTAAGAATGTTTGGGACTGATGACAGGATAAACTAAAAGATTTATTTTACCTCTTTAAAATTCCACTTTTTCGAAACCAATGCTAATAAATGAAACTACTCTGGCCTTGTAACCTAAAAATATCTATGACACGTGATGTGTACCGCACCCATTTTTATTGATATTTATTTAGCCGTCCTATATTATGAACTGCTACGTGCGTTTGTGTATATGTATTGTGTACGATTCAATATGATACAGGCATTCTTCTACGTGTGTGTGTTTTCTGGGATGTATTTTTGCCTATGAATGGGCGTAAACTTCGATTTTTGCTTACTGAGGAGAAATTCTTTAAGTAGACGCTAGGGAAGCAAAACGATATTCATCAATATTTAAATAATTGATCTTGAATGCATGAGGTTCAAGTACTAAGCAGGTCATGGAACATTATGCGCAGCTGTTTTCGCAAATATGTGATGTTAGACTGTTTTTCCTTCAGTACATCAGCTCTTTTGCCAAGTTTTGTCATTATTTTTCTAATCCATATAAATTAAGCTATGACTATCGATTAACAACTAACGTCCCATTTTTATCAATACTTTTAACCTCCTGTTGCTAAACTGGATCGAATCACTCGACTGCTGTTGGCAGACGGAATCCTATGCGAATGCTTTGATACTGCCAGATTACTCATTATGTTGAAGTCTGCTTGGTGGCTAGAAGTGGAATTCAGGACACACCTTTAATCCTATTTATGACTCGTCACCTGGTTGTAAATGCACCCAGTGAGTGGTGTTGTTCCTACTGAGACTTGAACTCAGTGGCCATCGCTTCAGACTCTAAAACGTCCTGAGCTTCACTTGTAGCCACTAAGCAGACTACAGCATGATGAGTAATCGGGTAGTATTGAGGCATTCTCATTGGAACCCATCTGTCGATAAAGACCGGACAATTCGATTCAGTATAGCAATGGGAGATTACAAGTATCGAACAACAACTGGTGCTCGTTGCACAAGAAGTGGCTCTAGTAGCCTAGTAGATAACGCTTTAGCATCTAAAGCGATGCCTACTGGGTTCAAATCTCAGTAGGAACAGTATCACTCACTGGGGTGCAGGTACATCCAGCTGATGAGTCCTAAATAAGAAGGAATGCGGGTCCTGAATTCCCTGCTAGCCTCCAAGCAGACTACGACTGTCAGTTTGCTCTTCCGAGATAACCTTGGTGTACAGCTAATCTGGCTAGATAGCTACTGTGGTGAAAACAGATGTTCAAATATCTCTTATTTAACCAAAAGACGGTCAAAATGTTGAATAACTGACGTGATAGTCATTCCTAGCTAGCATTTGAGTTCAGTAGGTTAGCTGATGGCATGTTGTATCATTAATTCAAATGCTACTGGTTCAAATTGCATCATCTGGTTATCTTCTAACTTCATCATGCCTGGGAATTTATTAGTATCCACTTTGATCGACACATATGCGACTGCGCAGTCATTTGAAAAGCAATTTTTATTCACCGAAACTTTCTCTTGAGTTGATAGTGATAGGGTTTAATTTTTCAACGAATAGAATTTTCAGTATAGTTCAGTCATCATCTAGTATCATCAGTGAGCATCTATCTTCACCTTTGATTTAGTTGACGTTAAAAGTAAGTCGTTAGTGAGCACTAAATTGTAATTCTTTTCAGGTAGATATTCGTCATGAAATGACACTAGTTGGAGAACCACTGTAAACCTGGGATCACTGAACATCTGTTTTGTGATGAAACTACGAATCGGTTTCTCAAAAACTCTGAATGAGTTAGAGCCGAAATCTCAGTAGTAACTTGCTTCAAAATAGATTTCACGAAATAGTTATGAAGAGCGGTTTTTTACATAAGGAATCAAGCAGATCCGGAATGAAGTCGAATGTTCATCTGCAACTCTGAATGACAGTTGAGTTGTTTTGTGAGTTGATAAAAATAACAGACTTTGGAATATTGCATTCCAAGGCATTGATTAGCTGGACGGTCAGATGATCCCTCTGAAACCCAATGGTTATGGGCTGGATTCAGTATTAACTCTTTGGTATGGATTACTGAGGACTCCCAAACTCGGATAAAACAGCTGTTGAGTACTACCATGTTTTAAATAGTTCTCCAGCTGATATATATTACTGCCTAAAGTTGACTCGAAATGAATCAATTATCCACAGACTTCCCAATTAAATCTATTGCTAAGACTTCATATATGAGAAATTAATGTGATGTGTGTCTATCCGGGTTTTGTGTGTACTTTACCTACTCGAAATATTTATTTTCTTTCTGTACTATGATACTCTGAGATTACTGAGATTGTTCTTTGAAATATATATTCTTTATTGCCTAGTGCTTTACAAAAAACATCGTTTTCATATTCGTTCTGAAATGAATTCTGTGAACAGTTATATTTGAATGAGAATGGGCAGTCGTTTCACCTGAGTTTGGAAGTCCTCAGTAGTGCATATCAACGAGTTAATGCTGGATCTAGACCACAGCCATCGGGTCTCAGAGGAAGCATCTGACCGTCCAGCTAATCAACGCCTTGGAATGCAATACTTCAAAGTCTGCTACTTTCGTCAACTCACAACACAGCTCAGTCGTCATTTAATGTTGTAGATGGACATTCGTCTTCATTCTTGACTTAGTTGACAACTTACGTAGCGACTATCATAATTCCATTTTAGTGTGTTTATAAGATTTATCACAGGGAAATAGTATTATTTACTGGATAACGTTTCAAAAGCCTATATCTTATTGTTGTATGGCTGAAACATTTTTTCGTGATGATCTGTGTAAATAGTGGGACTGGTTTTGTTACGATTTTTCTTATCCTGAGTGTACCTACTGGTTATTCGTGCATGCTTTAAAGCCCGCTAAGATTTTGCCTGTCGACTAAACTTTACCAAGTTTTATTCTGGTCACTTTCTTTAAGCACCAATAGAAGCCTTTAGTTTCTCTATATCTTATAAGCTTCCCTGGACATCGTGTATTTTATCTACAAAAGGTTTCTGCTTCACTGACTACTAGTTAGATTATCAAAGGTATATGTCAGCTCTATGGTCCTTGTTACATCATGGTTTTTAATCGACGGTTAATCAATCTAATTTAATTTATCAACTGTCCCTCTTCAACGTGTAAATAAAAATGTTTTAAGTCTATTTAATATCTCATAATTACTATTCGAGAAGCGCCAAGGTCACAAAAGTGCAATTATTAGGATAGACTGATCAAACTGCACTAACATCAACACAGTCATCAAACTGGAGATTAGTTATCGTCAACTGTAACAATGAATCTCTAAGCAACAGCATCAAAGTGGATATTTTAAGACTATTACACATCTGGGGACTGCGTCTTCAGGTGGTCGACAGAATTCGGTTAGCACTTAGGACTAGATAACATGAAATCAGTTACCTTAAGTGATCAGTCAATGAAAAGGTGCATTGAGCTGATATTTATGAAAAAAAGCCTCATCATCTGTAAATTCTTAATGATCATGAAGAAATACGACTGAAATCAGTGTCAAGGTGGCACACACAAGAACGTTGTATACCAATCAATACGAATATTTTCAGAATAGTAAATTTTTGGGAAAGCGAAAAACATTTTCTAAAATTTCTCTTGTTTCGCAGGTATTTATTAAATCCGCTAGTAGCTTGCCAATGACATTTGTTCCCAACTTTTCATAAATATGTCTGCTGCAATTGAAGATATTGGAGATCTCATGGATACTTCTTCTGTTTATTAATATATTTTGTCTTGAAAGTTGAAAAACGAGGTAGTTAGACACTCTTGTATCCCTAGTAACTTTGCTTCTATTACTGAATTCATAATAAGTTATGCGTTCATTCCTAACTACTTCAAGTACCATATTAATTGGTTAATTTGTACAGAGGATCGCTGCACCAAAACTTACCACATTTTCTCTCTCCACCAATTGCCTATAATTTAGTCTGTGTTTCTACTCAAATGAACTGGTGAGCCTAGATTTTAGGCGATTTCCAATAGAACGTAGTACTGTAGCCAAATATTTGGATAACTCGTATATTGGTGAGTTTCTAAAGTCAACTGTTGGTCTAATAGGGTAAGGTTCATAAAATGAACCTAAATGGTACCATACATTCTACTACGATTATTAACTTTAGGCATTAAACTGAATCGCTGAGACTCACCCAGAGATGGCTTCAATCAGCGAATTGGATCAGCTGTGGACGTTATGATCTTATTCATAACTGTGTCTATAATTTTTTTTAAAAATTTCCTCATATGTTCATATTTCGATATCACCGAATTTTCTTAAGAAATCCGGCTTATCTACAACCACTGTTGAGTTACCTTTGTCAGATTTTAGATAGTGTAATCACTGTGTAATTATAAAAGGGATTAATTGTTTCAAATTTGTCAGATTTGGCATCTACTATGCTACTGTCACTTCTAGAATTTCCGAGCACCAACATTTCTGGTCTTCTAAGTTCTTCCTCCTTTACTTTTGGTGTTTTTCGTCAGTGCACATTGTACACGTACCTTATCAGAAGTTGTCTTAACTATTGAGTATAATGTTACTTCTATGCTGGGTATAACATTTTCAGTTTTGGATTGAGCTACTGCTACTATGAAATTTAATTCTTTCTCGAAAACTTTTACTCCAGTCGAGCTTAATTCTCTAGTTGAAAGTTAGATCACTCACTTTATTGGATTGATGGATGACGCTGTCTCACAAAGAAGAATGAAGTTAGACATAAGTCTCAGTAGTTTAATTTAACGCCTAAAGCTAATAATCGTAGTAGAATGTATGGTACCATTTAGGTTCATTTTATGAACCTTACCCTATTAGACCAACAGTTGACTTTAGAAACTCACCAATATACGAGTTATCCAAATATTTGGCTACAGTACTACGTTCTATTGGAAATCGCCTAAAATCTAGGCTCACCAGTTCATTTGAGTAGAAACACAGACTAAATTATAGGCAATTGGTGGAGAGAGAAAATGTGGTAAGTTTTGGTGCAGCGATCCTCTGTACAAATTAACCAATTAATATGGTACTTGAAGTAGTTAGGAATGAACGCATAACTTATTATGAATTCAGTAATAGAAGCAAAGTTACTAGGGATACAAGAGTGTCTAACTACCTCGTTTTTCAACTTTCAAGACAAAATATATTAATAAACAGAAGAAGTATCCATGAGATCTCCAATATCTTCAATTGTAGCAGACATATTTACTGTGTTGCAACCAGAACACATCCGTAGTTTTTCGTACACACTAACTCAGCAGTAGATACAGTTCAATTCATATATGAACTGGAAAATGAAGAAGGAGAATTATCTATCGTTTACGGATACTTGTAATTTCCCAATGCTACACTGGGTCGAAATTCTCGACCCGAGTTGGGACTTGGGCTCCTATGCGGATCCTTTGATACTGTCTGGATATTCATTAGATAGTGGTCTACTTGGTGGCTAGTAGCGGAAAACAGAATGGGCGTTTCGTCCTATTTGTGGCTCATCAGCTGGATGTACCTGCACCTCAGTGAGTGGTATTGTTCCCACTGCGATTTGAACCCAGTTGCATCGCTCTAGATGCCAAAGCGTTATCCACTAGGGCATGAGATCCACCACTTGTGCAATGGGTATCACTTGTTGTTTATTGGTACATGTAATCTCTCGTTGCTACACTGGGTCGAATCGCTAGACCTCTATGTTGAATTTCAAAAGCAAGAGGAGAGAAGATGGAAGCCTAGATACAAGTATTTATAGGAAATCGACACATTAGAGTAGATTCTTGGATTTCACATCATCTCATCCCACATCTATCAAGGTATACTTGACAAAATATATAAATAGTCGAGCTAGGAGTTTTACTAGTGTGTCAAAAAACCCAAATAAGGAACTGAAGTACATCAAAGAAACACTACTTAATAACTACCCTCTGAAGTTTATTAAAAAGCTTATAAAGACTGTTAAGAGAAGGAGTGGCAATGCTGGTGGTGACTGGAACATGCCTAAAAGGGAATTCAAAACCTTCAGAGAGTTGCCGTATAAAGAACTCACATCGAAAATTTCACATAGATTTCCTAACAATTATGGTATTAGGGTGGCATTTGAACCTGCAAACTGACTCAGAGAGAAACTTTGTAGGTTAAAAAATCTAGTAGTGCCAATTCAGAAAAATAAAATAATCTAACACACAATGTGATGATTGGCAGGTCAATCATATAGGTTAAAGTGACCGATCGGGAGTTCAGTCGCAATTCAAAGAAAAGCCTGGCTATCGCTCTGGATGCACTGACCCATAATCGCACTACGGGTAGCGGCAGGCTGACAGTTGTGAAACCCAATACAGCTAGGTAGAGGAAGAGATTGGTCACAGAAATATTGAATCAACACCTGATATGTGTAACAGGAATGACTCCTCACACATTACAGGTATCTAGAAAATTTTACTTCCATTAAAACAAATAATTGAAGAACTATTTGGACGATATAAAGCTAGTTTGAAAGTCGGGTATTCACTTTGATGTAAATATGAACAACAAATTCTGCTAGAAATTTCATCTAGTAAATAACACTGTGTCACTATGCGTTGTGTCAAACAAACAATTTGATGTGAAATTGTTCTCTCCCGCTTTGTCTGAGACTCACTCTCTCAATAATCTAACCTAATTTTACTTAAGCGACTGACCCATGAGTGACAAAGTATAAATCAATAGATTTTGAGTGCAGGACAAGCTTATATGTGTGATTAAAAATAATGGAATAAGATATATTCATTATGAATACAGGATCTGGCTTTACTTCGTTATTTTATAACTCTTCATGACTCACATCAGCACATCAAGATACAAGGCAAAATGCAAATAATGCAACTGGTACAAATAGAAGTCTTGGAAGTTTGTCAAGAAGTAAGAAATTTAAAGCAGATAGAAATATGTGGTTTGGTGATTAAGACTAAGTTACAGTATGGGTTCAATTGATTTCAAAACTTATCATCTAAAGTTTCCATCGTGTGTAGCTGTTACTCAAACCGCAGTCTGGTAGTCAACATTACCCTACATGACCCAGACCAATTGTCAGAAATTTCATGTATTGATGTCTAACCACTCTGTGTTTTCCAACTTAATCTTAATTGAACTAATATTTCGCCCTGAAGTAAACTCCGAGCAGAAATTCATTAATCATATATGCGCGACCCTAATCGATAAGAGTATAGAACATCATCAGCTAACTCACCATAAGACAGATACATGAAAAGTAATCCCATAAAATATAGTTATTCAAGTCTTGTTTTCCTCTTTTTTCTCCAAACCATTTCTAAAAGTCTTTGTTTATATATAGTCACCTATTCTTTTTCAAAATAAACCTAAGAAAATTGACTTTACCTTTATTCTTGTTTACCATAATTTTATTCTTCTTAGAATCCTGCAGATGAGGAGAATATTGGTGAAATGACCTTTCATCCGGGTGAAACTTACAAAGGCACACAATAGTAAGTGTAAATTGTATTTCGCGTGTTTTATCATTACAACAGAGTTTCAGTATGGGAAAATCCCCCTTTGATAGTTGTAGAGTTATTTCTGATGTTCGAAGTTGATATTGATCACGGAAATATGAAAAACTGGGTGCTAATTCTGTATAATCTTCTACAGTGTTACCATACAGCGAAGATATATTACGTATAGAATGAAACATAGATGTAGACTAGTCTCAATGAGACTGCAGTCTTGAACAAGAAATGTGTTGATACCACAGTTATTGAGTCATGTCACTACTCGAGTTATGAATTACTCAGTGTTTGTTGTTGGGAGTCAATCATCAGAAAGTTTTGAACCCGGGTTTTGTGCTTGCTGGTGGCCGTCAGCATGATGTGTCTACGACGATGCCGGTGATCATTGGCAATTCGAACCTGTGCCACTTAGTGCTAAGATCAAGTACTTTATCCACTTGCCAGATAAGGTCATGATTGACTACCTGTGGAACTAGATTGTGTACAAGAATTTGTCACAAACTGCCACTTGATGTATTTGTCGAGCTTTTAATTCTAACCATTGACTAAATTTTATAAATCCGGTTAGCAATATTTCCATTCAGCCAAGTGATGCGATACTGCGGTACTCTGTGTTTTAGTGTGTTATATCACTTGCTTCAGCCCTTGATAGTTTATATACTCTGTTTTATGTGAGCCAGCACTGTTAAATATGTGTCTGGTGTTGTCAGACAGTAAGTGTACTTCCGGACATTACCCGAAACAATATCATTTCAAGAAAAAATTTGATCGGCGACATGCTAATCCAAATTACCAACTGTTAATTAATGTAGATCAGTAAAAGTCAAGAGTCTAGACAGACAGATAGACAAAATTAATGTAGACCCTCGCAAACAAGTGCATCGGTTCGAGCTGTTACACTTCACAGTAGCATACAAAGAACAAGTGGATAAGAAAGACTGATATCAAAGTATACAAAGGTGTATTGGAGGAGAAGGAATTTAAAAATGAAGGTTAGTCAGACCATTGAAATACCAGCATACGTCAAAGGATAAATACATCTGCGCCACTTTGATCGATTTTCATAAATGTCAATAAGAGTCCTCAACAATTGATTTCTGTCGTCTCGGGAACTCTAATCAGGCAGTCTCCTCTCCCCACACAACTCAAGCCATTAGTCAGAGACTTCATGGACTGGTGCCAGGTCTTGATCTGGCCACCCTGAATCTTCTTCCAATCTAATCCAACTTCTGCTAGCACGCCAAGTTGAAGTAGGTAGTGACTCGGCATGCGCAGCACACGTCCAAGCCACCTCAGTTGATGAAGGTTGAAGTGTTTGAACACTATTTCACCATATGTCTGAAATCGAATATACATATTTGGGAAGTAAAATTGGCCTAAGATTTTTGTTGTGATCGTATTCAAGTATACAAATGGTATTTATAAAGTAAAGCCGTATTTTCATAGGATCATAGATGTCAACTTGTAAGAAATGTATCTTAAACTACGTATTTTTTGAATTAGCTTGGTTGTTTTTTCTTTTCAACTTATGTTCAGTTCACTGCCGGTCTTTTAATCATACTATTAATTCTCTTTTCTGAATAGAAAGGAATCATTCATATCCTTCCAAATTTGAGCGTCTTTTAGATCTGATTTGGTTTCTTTTCACACAAAGGAAACATTTTGTTTATAGCAATTATTCTGTGTATTTTTCAGTACTCATTTATGGTATTTTCAAGTTCTTCTGTGTTTTCTTGAAAAGGGGTGGTGTAAACATTTCACCAATAACCTGAATATGCTAATCATCGCAAAAAGCAGAAACTAGATTCAGCCAAAACAATCAGTAATCAAAACTGAAGTTCACTAAAGTTTAAACCAAGTGTTGCTGATGGCAGTCACAACAAAATAAAATACTAACTTTCTATTACTAACTAGTTTTCACTGATACCATATGACCGTGGCGGAAAACACGATTCAGAAATCAACCCAATTCATTAACGCATTAAGTGTATGATGAATTCCTATGCATGCCAATTTTTATTGAGGTATGCTAAGTAGTGAAAAATGTCATCGATAGGTTTTTCGTAAAAGTTAATTAACCATCTATCATGAGTACCGATTTCTGTCATTATATCACTGATTCTATCTCTACTAATCATTATCAAAAAGGTATGCTTCTTCTACAAAAATGTTGAAAAACTAATTCATATGACTATTTTCACCATCTACAAAATGAATAAAATGATGCAGATGTCTTTGGTTACTACTACTTTTTCTTTTTCAGGTATTCCCTCCTTCTCATATAAATACCTACTGTATCACCTGCTTTATAGTTTCTAAATTATAATAAATACATTTATATAATGTATATACTCCATGGAGCATGTGAACAGAAAAAAGTATATATTCCCTCTTTTTTCATTTCAATAATCACATAGTCAATGGGTGAAGTGCTTCTTAGAGCAAGATTAGTTCTCTTCTGCTGACATTATGAACTGACTTAATAATAATAGTAATAATAATGATAATAATAATTCAGTCATCAGTATTCCTGAACCTTAGAAATGTATAATTCATAAAAAGTGATGGTAAAATCTTCAGACGCTGAGGTGAAAGCGTCTCGTACCCTCTTAACATTCAGGTGTGGGATCAGTAACTTAGAGGTCAGTACTTTTTGTGATACAGGCTTTTGAAAATGTTTTATCAATAGCTCATATTATTAGCAATTCGCCAAATTACAGTCACCTCAAATAGTTCCGTTAACATTTTCATAGCTTAACTCTCTTAGTTGAAATGACAAGTTATCGACTTTCAATGGGAAAGTTATTGTCCAACTTTGCGGATAATTGATACTGCTAGCTAACTTCGTTTATCATTCAAAACAGAATTGTTATTCACAAGAAAAATCAACTTCAAGTGAACTCTACAAAAAGCTGTTTTCCTATTTTATTTTTAAAAAGAATACCACTAAAATTATTTTATCGCAAGATTGTTTATGTCTTAAACAACAATAAAATCAATAGTATGACATACAACGGGAGTACAATTATCCATCAGTCACTCAACTTAACTGTACTGTAAAAATTAATTTTTTCGATGAAATGTACCAAAAAAAAAATCATATTCATCTACCTGCTTCTCATAAGATTAAACATCAAAGTGTAATTTACTAGATGAGAATTCAATGAAATTAAATTTCTCATTCTTTAAAATCAAACTAAAAATTGACTCCATTTGCCCACCTTACTTGCTCATTCAATTTAATCAATAGCTTTATTAGTTAGGAACAGGTTTAATGAAATAGTCGTAGTTAGTTGGGTGAACAATCGAATAATCAATTTTATACTACTTTAAAGTTTGTTCCTTCTTTTCTGTACAAAAAAGAATTAATAAGTTTATAAGGTTATAAGTAATCCTATGACCAAAACCAAAGAGTAGAATTGTTTAGGTGTCACTCGATTACCAAATTTAAAAGAGCTTTTATGTATATGTTAAATATATATGTGTTTGATAATTTTGTCATTTACTTTCTTGTATTATTTTTTTAGCGGTGTCTTCAGTAGTGCATATTATCCATTTCTTGGACAAGCTGGTTATCTTGGTCCGTTAGTTGCCCTGGAATTTAAATCACCGAAAAAGAACGTTGTCATCTTGGTTAAATGTGCATTAGCCAATGTGAAGAATGCTAATAAAGACGAATTGAACTTTGAAATATTGGTAGATTAGAAGTCTATCATCTTAGTGCTATGTCTAATGCATCAATATAGATATGTATATGCGTACACAAACAGATGAATTTACATTAACCACAGACTAAATAAATCATTAGATTCCTTGAATTCACAGTCTCTTATCATGTCATTTCTTTGTTTCCACTATAAATTATTTGATTAACTTTTTTCAACGTTTACACCTGCCTATTTACTTAGTCGACTCCATGACACTATGAGTTTACGACTTTTTTCCTGTTCGCTTAGTTTTGATTTATCGTGTAATCATCCTTACCAGCCTGAAAGGTGGCATTGCTGCTTTATTTTATGAATTCTGTTTTCAGTAGATTTCTTTGTTCTAATTAACGCATTTGATAATGATTTAGGTGAAAGTATTTCGCTAATAATTATTGAACATTGTGGTTTATTGTCGTTATTCATTCATCTATTTATCTAACCAAATTGGGTTTAAAAATTTGAATTTAATCTCAAGTATTCCTTTTCTGTAGACTGTTAGTTAGAAAGCCTTGTACAAGCAACACACATATTTTCGACTATCATGTGAAATTATCTTCTACCAGAGAGCATATATGTTTAGTGACTAGACAATTAATGAGTGGAACAACGAAAGAAAGTGATTATCATCTATAAACTACTCATCTTTGTTGCCAGTATTTTTGCATGATCCGTGTGCGTGATTACTATCATGTAATAAAATTGTATGCCTAAAAATATCCACGCACACGGATCATGCAAAAATACTGGCAACAAAGATGAGTAGTTTATAGATGATAATCACTTTCTTTCGTTGTTCCACTCATTAATTGTCTAGTCACTAAACATATATGCTCTCTGGTAGAAGATAATTTCACATGATAGTCGAAAATATGTGTGTTGCTTGTACAAGGCTTTCTAACTAACAGTCTACAGAAAAGGAATACTTGAGATTAAATTCAAATTTTTAAACCCGATTTGGTTAGATAAATAGATGAATGAATAACGACAATAGACTACGAAGTTTTGATTTTATCTTGATGCTTAAATTAAGTCTACAATTTTTGTGTAACAGTTTTTGTCGTTGTTGTGTGTATCTCATATATTATATTTATTATCATGTACTATGCAATATATACATGTTTAGATAGAAATCACGTCTTTTTTTCCAGGCTTTAGCTATGAAGCAGAGGTAATTTTTGTTCACTGTAGCCAATATGCTTACCCTTTATGTAAAAAAAGGATCACAGAACAAAGTATGTCACTTGCTTGCGAACTACTGCATAAAGTGTTAAAAGCTATTAACTTCAATGTTAATTATAAACGGTTTCAAGATGACTGGAAACTTCTATTTGCCTTACTTCCATCAGTGAATAGTCTTTGAAAACTTAGTTTTGATAGGTGAATCAGCATAATTCATGTTATTTGCTTTGTATGATTTGTTGGCACTTAATGTACACGTTGAACTTACAAGGGCTGGAACTACTAGCAAGAGCGTAACTAGTTGACTGCTTACCACACTGAATAGCTATCATGGCTCACTCACTATAAGTAGATGGTAACTATCCCATAGGATCAAGTTACTGCATATCAACAACCCAAACCGCTGAATAAATGCGTGTACATACACTTCAATAACAGTCCATTTCCATAGTAATTGATGAAATAAAAGCCATATGAAGAAAAATATGTGGCTGAGATGACACAACTACCTACTAGCCAGCCACTAGTCAATCAAAGGAGGTCGGTGAACAACCAATGAATTTTTGCCAACGAGTATAATTGTTGTCCCATCCGCTATGACATATAATGTCACCTATTACTGCTATCATCTGTCTCGTTAGCCATCACTACCCATGATCATTGTACAGGCTAATTGCTGAGCTACTTCATCGTCATTGTAGCGTTTTGTGATTCAACAGAGATTTTCCAATTACTTAGACGCTACAAGGAATCTGTGATGGTAGAGCAGTGGGTTTCTGCGTTATTCCATCCAATCTACTATAGCAAAAACAAAGACTCAAGTAATGAGAGAATGCTTAGATATACATGATTATCCAAAACTATATTGGAAGGCATTTCGACACAGCCATATCAAACCTAATTCCAGAACATTCATGCTTTACACTATGAACCATTTAGACGCCATGCAATCACATGTCTGAATTAGAAAGCAGTGTTGATCCCAAGATCCTGTTTTGTTCAGGATCTTGAACCAAAACCCTCTGAAAAGTATGTCAACATGGTTACACAGAAACTGCGAAAAGACTAAGTCGCTGTTAAAGAGCTTGAAAGTAACCCTTACCAGTGAAAGACTTCCTGAGCAACCCTGAAAAATACGCATTCAGCTTATCAATGTAGGATTGTCAATCATAGATGCTATCTCTAAGTCCGAAACTTTGTATTAAACCCTCAAACATCAAACTTCACGCTGTTTGAAAACTTCACAAACCTTATATCATCATCCGAAGAGCAGCTGGTACACTTCAAGTCAACAGTCTTCGATAGCTGTAAACAGACTTTGCGAATGAAAGCAAAACATCACCCTATGTTGAGTAAGAGATTATGCTCATACGACCCGATAAAGATTCTGGCATTGTACTGATGAATCATATCAGTAAAATGCTTACTATCCTGTCTGATGAGACAAGATTTACGAAGCCTACCAACGACATAACAAGTTGAAAAGGTGTTCTTCGGAAACTAAAGACAAATTCTTTCTTTGATTCTTAATTACTTGAATTTCTGAGTCCTTCTACATCAAATATTTGCCAACTATCGGAAGTGACAGTGTCTATATTCACTGTCCTTTGGAAGTAAGTAAACGCCATGTCAAGCAGCATCTCTCTCTAAGTTCAAGGTCTACGCACTTCAGAATTTTCTCGGGGACGTGCTTAGCATGTGGTCATTATTACTGGTTCTTTGATCTAGAACGGTGATATTACCAAATGGGTCTTCCCAACTGACTCAATTCTACTAATTGCAAACTGACTTTGCCGGATATACCAACTACGTCCATAAATTTAACTCCCTGCAGAAAAATTGACTTCTTTGTGACTGCAATCAGTGGATGAACAGGCACGCATTGTAAAACACAGCAAGGCATCATAAAATTTACAGGTTTCTATTGTATCAATCAGCCAAACAGGACTGATTATAACTAAACTTGGGGAGAAAAGGAACATTATTGAAGACGTTAATTATCTTCGGAAAAACGGTCTACTCTTGTTACAACCTCGCGCAGTTAGTAATAATACTTCCCTCTTAGACTTGAGGGTCTCAATTCTTCAACTAAGCTTTCACTTAGGTCTCCAATGATTACGACTGACAAATGCGACTACCATGGGGTACGGTAAAAGTTACCGCAGACAGCAATGCTCCTTAGCTAATTGCAATCAAACACAGATCGATCATTTTATATGTTTATTCGTAAAAAGTATGTATGTACATGAAGATATCACTAAGAATACAAATGATATCAGCAGCGTCATCGAGCTACCAATCATTATTTTCCGTATTTACAAATAAACTAGACTTTTTGAGAATGCATTTATCAACGAAAAAGAAATCACTTCATCGAAATTGTTGGAGTAGACTTCGAAAGGAATCAAGAACGTTTATGCTGAAAAACAACAAAAAATGCGAATGTTGATTACTAGGGTGAAAGCCCACATTAACATAATTATTTCGTGTACATAGCAGTCTAACAGAAAAAGGCACATCTGCATATACCGGTTTTACTCAACTTCTGTTCTTGGCCTCATATTACTTCGTTTACCTTATACATTTTGCAGTGAATAAAAAGCTCTTATGTTTTATCATATTCATGTGTCATAGAATAAGGTTCTTGTATGTGAAATCTGTATTACTAAACATATATATGCACCATTACCGTAGCAGAGGCTAACAAACTACAACGATATGTCTTAAAGGTTAGCAAGAATCTAATACATTTTTACAGGTCCATCTAAAGAATGAACACCTGAAAAGAAGTCCCGTTCCATGATAACTATGTTCATAACACTGATTATGTTCAGTAGTAATACTAAGCAAACCTCAGTGGGATGTTTGCAGCGATAATGTTAAATGTTATTCAGATACCGGCTTTCACACTACAGCTTCCAAACAGTAAGCTGTTTACCGACTTTAGTCTTTTTAAAAAGCAGTAAGGTGCTTATTTTAAAGACATGACACTGCTGACTGGACGATAAATGGCTCCTTGTCCATCGATCAAGGTTTAATGGATGGAATTTAGAAGACTACCTACTTCGGTAATCAATTGTTTTCCATGTCACTTTATATTTAGTGTAGTACATAAATGACACGCAAATCAAAAGTGAAATAATTTGCAATTGATGTATGTTTTCATTATTTCTTGCCTTCATTGCCATAATTGTTACATTCCTTCTCGTTCATGCATTCATCGCGCTGCACAATTTTGTGCACAGTATATGTTAGCGTCTTAAAATAAGGTGACGATCACTTTACACTCATACCTGTTCAAATTAAAAGAACCCGATCCCACATTTGGGAAAACAAAATTATGTTTATACGGTAGACTGTAGTGAATGCAATGTCACATATATTCGAGACACATCATGTTAAGTACGAACACGTCTAACCAAATACGGTCGAAGTTGAAAGCAGAAACAAACAAAAAATTCGTAAGATCTGGAAAAAGCTGTACCATCACGGTTCATGCCTTATATTCAGGTCCCTATTAGATTTGTTTATTATATTTAGGTCATCAAAATATTATTCGAAGAGGTGAAAGTCTTGTAGAAAGGTTTCTTTTCTCACAAAGAGCTGACCATTTCAGAAGCTTTGTATATCTGGTCGTATCCTTCTGCGGTCAACAGAAAAGACATTCAACAAATATGGAAAACGTCAGTGGCTCGCATAAGTAGTTCCAAATAATATACAAAGAGAAGGTAGAACACAACTTTACACTGTTCCAAGTGATTTTTTCCGAATGGTTTCCGGTATTATCTCACTTAGTCGTTTTAATCACCTGATTTTATTTTAACAATTGGTCTAGTTCTATTACATAATACTCTATTGACTTACTATTTTAAGCAATTTTTCACTCCTTTCTGAGATATGTAGATTCTATGAACCATACTAGATTTTTTTTATTTTATTTGCAATATACAGTGATATAGTATTATTTACTCGATGACGTTTCGAGCATAGATTATTGCTTATAATCATATCAATGTAATCTATGAACCATTCTGCAAAATTACGCAATCCTTTTCGTGATCATTTATCGTTATCAAAATTGTTACTATCATTAATTATTATACATTAACTATCAAACTTGAATATTAAGCTGAAATCTTAATGTCAGATGCATACTCTTGTAAAGAATCTTCCTAGCAAGATTGAAACGTTGAGAAATAATACTAATACTAAACTGGGATTACACAAGTAAAAATACACCTCATACGATGATAAAGTAATAGTCGATAGCATTTGATCACCACATTTACCTTGCCTTACATATATAGATGAAAGTATCAGTAACCAATGAATTAATAATAACTGATCAAATTTAGCCTTTCATCTGACTTCCTTTACAGAAAGTTGATTCCAATGTATAATTATTACAAACTACAAGCTGATGTATCAACAAAGATTATAATCCAAAGTGATTACAACGCAACAATGTATACTAAAACTTTTTAATCAACAAACAAAAACTGGTAAGCTATTTACTTGATACACTACTTTTCAAATGACCACTGAGGTACAAAATAATTTTATAGAAATGGAAATGAAGTAAAGGTTGAAATTGTTTAAATTAATAAAATTGTAGAACTCACGACAACGGTTTTTTATTTTTTGTACGACTATCCTTTACTTTCTGTGAACGATCCGATTTTGCTTTTTGGTCACCGAGTTTTTTGAAAATTGACTGATCAGTAGGAAACTGTACATCAAGCAATTTATCTGTTCTTAAATTTTGTTCCATAGACTGTAAAGCTGATTGTAAGTTTGTATTACGACTAAGATAGGACTGCAGCCTTAGCTTATGACGCTTTCGCTTTGGAATTTTTTTCACAACCCGATGAATAGCATCATCTGTTAGTGAACGTGCGGAAGTCTTAGCTAGACACTTATTGAATTGAGTAACAGAACGTGTTTCGTCTAAGGTTTGTTTGAATAACGGTTTGGATTCCTTATGATTTGTCTATATTAACAATAATATGAAAACAAAAGTGTAAGTGAAGTTGACACCTAATTAATGAATAAAACTTCAAGCTCAAACCAATATTGTTTATTGGACTTCAGTACTGACTTATTTTTTTCTGTTTGAAGCATTCATTATGTGCACTGATCTGATTACCTTGATTTTTCTACACGCACCGGTTGCCGGCAGATGATAATTGAATGCATTAACTTTGTATGCCTGGTTAGAAGACAACAGCAAGTGAAATGGCAACCTAGATAACTTAGAAGTACAGAACGATAGGGACAGTCTTATATGAAGAAACGAAAACATAAAAGTCGTTTCGTTTTAATATAATGTCACCAGCTCTATCAAATCACGTACTTCGCTTAGGCATATGAATAATACATTTGTAATTGTGAAAAAACTATACTTGAGTTTTTCTAAACTAATAAATACTCCGTTTCGGCATATAAGATTCATAAGTAAATATGAAAACCAACTCTTACGACTCAAAGCACAGATTAGACGACATACACTTATATGACAATGAAAAAAATGGTTAGTTTTGACATAACTAGCCTTTACACAAATATACCGGTCGACATGACTCTAGAGGCAGTTACAAATGGGCTTAAAGATGACAAAGAACTTACGCATCGAACTAAGGTTCTGAAAGAGGAAATCATGCTAGGAGTACGATTGTGCCTAACATCTACAGCTTTAAGTTTCAAAATAAAATATATGAACAAACTGAAGGTGTTGCCATGGAATCACCAATATCCTCTATCGTCGCAGACATATTTATGGACAGTTGGGAACAGATAGCCTTTCAAACATTTGGTCCTATTGCAAAGACATGGTTCCGATATGTAGATGATACATTTACAGTACTGAAATCGAAACACATCAATAGGCTTTTGTCACATATAAATTCAGTAGTGAATGCAATCCAATTTACCTGTGACTTAGAAAACGAAGAAGGTGAGCTAGCAATGTTGGATTGCAAGATTAAACGAACACAAGACAGAAGTTTGGAGACTAGTGTCTATAGGAAACCTGACCATTCAAATCGTTACTTAGACTTCGAATCCTCCCACCCCACCCCATCCCAGTTAAAGTAGACCTAGTTGAATGCCTAAGTGATAGGGCGAAATAGCTTACTAGTAGACCGGAAAATCTACGACAAGAAATTAGGCACATCAAGAATACCTCGCATCTCAATAATTACCCACCAAAATTTATCATTAAATTCATAAGAAATCAAAAGAAAAATAGCAGTGGTAGTAGTAGTAGTAATACAGATGCTACCAATAATAATCCCACTACTAGTGGTAATAATAGCGACAGGGTTAAAAGAGAATTCAAAGCCTCTGCTGTGTTGCCATACAAAGAAGGCACCTCAGAAGCATTACGAAGAATTTTCAATAAGGCTGGGATTACAGTGGCATTCAAACCAACAAACTCACTTAGAAACAAGCTTTGTAGGTTAAAAGATCCTATCGATGCAATTAGGCAGAATAATCTGGTCTACCAGATTCCTCGCAATGATTGCGAGGTCAAATACATAGGTCAAAGTAGTCGACCCAGGTCGATTAGAATAACAGAGCACAGAAACTTAGCTAAATCAAGATCAGTAGATCCTAATAAGATAAGAAATCTAGAGAAAAACTCGGCCATAGCTCTGCATGCGATGACACACAATCACACAGTAGGGTGGGATAGGGTGACAGTGTTGAAAACTAACTTAGTTGGGTGAAGGGAGAGATTGATAACCAAGTCTTTGTTTATCGAATCAGCACCGAATACATGTCATCGAAATAATTCTGCACCTGTCCCAGATATATGGAAATTCTACTCTTGTCATCACAGAGGAGAGAAAATTAGGAATATATAAAGTCTGTCTCGAAGTTGTGGAGTTACCTGATATGAATATGGACAACAAATTGTGTCCGAAACGTTGTCCAGTAAATGATACTGCTTCACTGTGTGACATTTCTAATAAAGAGACGAAACTGGAGCCTTGATTTTAAAGTTGTGCTAAACTTTCGCTTTCTCTGGACTTATTCAGTAGGACATCAAAGCTGATCAGAAGTGAAGACAAAAGACGGAAGGAAAGAATAAAACAGATTCGCTACATTGTAAAAATTGTCCTAGTATTTTGAAGTTCAAAAAATATGAACATCACGATGTGAAAGGAAAATCAAGTGTCTTCGCTTAGCATGGTAATTCAAACTTTCCAAATATATATGGTAGAAGAATTACAAAGAATTTTGAAAAGACACGTAACTATAGCTTTCTACAAGATAGCCAAAGCTCCTAGAAGCGCTTTAGTTCACGTAAAATAAAAAAAGTTTGTTTCCACACAGAACCTTTGTACAAGTTAGGCCATGTCTATTAACAATGGGGAATCATCCCACGAATTTTTTATTCAAGCCAATGAGCATACAAGCTATGCAAACGACCGCGAATAATCTTACAAAACTAGAGAATTTACAAATAAAATATGCCACTGCCGTTTACGTTGATTGTCATCACCAAAAATGGAAAGATCTAGATTTTCGGAAAAGAATTTTCTAACAATAACGAAAAGTAGGCAGCGGAGACATTAAATATTACTTTGAAGCCCAATGTGCTTAAGCGAAAGAAAAGAGTCACCATTCAACTTAATCAAACAGTATAATCGAGATAACACGTTTCACATACTAACCATAGCTGAAGCACATGCACATACAAAGCCTAAGTTTCGCATTCACAGTACCTTTTTCACATTCACTAATATCCACTCACATATGAACACACATTTTTATCCTCACCCAAAACTCAATGAATAATAAATAATTATGATAACGTTTTTTGTATGCATGCATGAATAATGTAATTTGTTTTGTTCAATTTACTATTTAAATATGCGATGACGTGTACAAGTATAACACTCTGAAGAAGCGGCTTACACGACTCTGTGAAAGTTTAAAAATTACCTTATTCATATCATCAGGATTCGACACATACATTTTATTTACTAAGCATTTTCCCAAAAGTTAACTTATTCAATACTATCGGGCCAATGCTTGATTGTGACACGAACGAAATGTTTCACATTTTATTCTTTTAGCACCTGTATTGTTACAGATGTACACTTGGAGAAATAATAGTTCACCTCAGTGACAATGTTTACGTTCCTGTAATAGGTAATGGATCACGCTTATTGAGTGCTAATTAGATCATCTAAATGTCTAAGTCTTGGTAGACGAAGCCCGACTAGTAATTGAAACCCACCGATAGGTCAAGTGCTTATCTAATAAGTGACAGGATTTGATCACCCAGCTATGGTCTTTATATTTCTATTTCACAGACAGATAGACCAAATCAACGTAGAACTTCGCACACAAATGCTTTGGTCCAAGTTATCATACTTCACAGCAGCATGCAAAGAACAAGTAGATAGGAAAGACATATCAAAGTAGACAGAGAAGTAAGGGAAGAGAAAGAAATTTAACAATGAAAGTTAATCAAATAATCCAAGCTTTAGAAGACACTAAAGAGTAAATATATCTGCGTCATTGAGACAGATTTTCAGCCATCTCATCAACAGTCCTCAACTACTGATTTCCATCTTCTCGAGGATCCCAGCCACATAGTCTACACATCACTACACGGCACAGACCAAGAGTCAGAGACTTAATGGACTAGTATCATGTTTTGGCCTGGTCACCCTGAACAATGTCCAGACGTAATACAACTTCTGCTAGCATGACACATCAAGGTAAGCGGTGGTTGGGTATGCGCAAAACATGTCCAAGACATCTTAGTTGATGAAGGTTCACGACTTGTCTCTCTTGCCTAGTAACCTTCACCTGAACTCAACATAGCTCACATGGTGATGCCACCAAACGCGAGCAATACTATGAAGATACCTGTGAGCAAAAGCCTGTAATTGCTTCATGTTTTCTACTTTTAACGGCCATGTCTCACAGTCGTATAGCAGGATAGAACGAAATGCAGAACAGTATACTCATCATTTAACGGTTAGTCGGATACCCCGCCGGTGCCAAACGAACCATTTGTTTCCCAGCTGAGATTTCGAGCAGATGCAACCCTCTAAATAAGTGAAGTGGTTGACGCATCCCATCACTTCACTACTTGTCATTAAACTGGGTGTTGTTGCAGAGGAGTCCTGAAGCATCCAACATATTACGTCTGACAGGTGCGAAACGCATGCCAAACATACTCAGATTTTTGCTAACCGCATTCACATGACTCTGCATTTTATTAACATCTTAACCTAGCAGGATAATGTCTTATGCGGGCTCCAAAGTCAATCAGAGGACCTCCAGAGTGTAGACCAATCCCTATGAAGTCAGACATTCCTACGGTTATGTCCATTAGTACGTCTATGACGAAGTTAATTAAGAATGGTGACAGCGAGGATCTCTGACAGATACTAATTGTCGTCAGTTCACATGACAACTCTTCACAATCCCTAACACGGCTGCGTGAGTTCGAGTAGAGAACTGTGATTAGCGAAATATACTTGCTCGGTACTCCCTCCACAGTCAGACACTGTTACAACACATCATGGTCGACAGAGTGGAATGCGGCCTTCAGGTCAAGAAATATAGCAAGTGTCGGCCACCAGTAGGCAAACATGTTTTATAGAACCTGTCGAAAGGTGAAAATCTGATCGATGCATCCACGACCAGATCTATTTTGCAAGTCTACGTTTGGTTTTTGTGGTACCATTCTTTGAGTATATACTTTCATCTCAGAGAATATCTTGTGTCCTCTTCCCCTCAAGAGTATCACGACCGATAATATCAACACAATATATAAACACAAACATTAAGCGATAGAAAAGCTAGTGAAAACACTGTCTCTGTCTATAGAAAGGCCTCAGTTAGGTAACAGCTTGCCCTCTTAGTTTACATCAAAAAGCTGAGACAATCGATGAACGCATTTTTCTTAGGGATATTTCAGGAAGTTCCTCACAACCAGTGAATACACTGTATCAGCCAAGTTAGGGTTGGGTGAGGAAGTTAAGTTGGTTGATGAGGTGCTCAAAACAAAATTTACACAAACCTAAAAATGATGTTTGAAAGAAAAACAAGGATAATTAGATAACGACAGAGTGCGCATCTTCGCAGTTTTTGACTTTTGCTGTGAGCAGTCTATGAAGGTGTAGGTAGGATAAAAACCTTACACAAAGGCTTAAAATTCCTTATTGGAGTGTACATGTACTCACTCATCATATTAGAATTTCTGAACATCTCTTATCTTTCAATTATCCTTCCTTCGCCTTATGCCGTGCAGCAATTTAAACTGAAGTCTCTGTGGGAGATTTCACGTTGCTTTGTCATAGATGATTTTCATAGTACAGACTTTAACATGATGACATGACTACGTCTGATAGACCACTTTTAGTGAACAAAGGAAATAAAATCCTGCGAAGAAAAGTGATGCCTAAAAATACATCAAAGAATATGATGATACGGGATATTACTACGCCCGTATTACAGTTAGTTTCAGTACCTGTTAAATGTACAATCTTCCTCATCAAAAGTAATAGCTACTAGTGTTTTCACAGTATTGCGATCGATCAAGGACACACGAATACTACAAAAATTTATTCAGCTTTGTAGATATTAGTTTAGACACCTATACCTTAATTGAATGAAGACAATGTATACGAACAAGTAATCTCGCAAAGACTGATGCAGGCTTTTACTTAGACTTATGGATGAAACTGGCTGATAACATACAACTGTAGAGGAAGATAATTGAAACCTGTGGTCTTGTGTCTGAACTCAAGTGCTAAAATAACTGCACTTAAGCCTCACTTTATACAAGATAGTTGGTTTCTTTGTCTAAATGACGTGAAAATGAATGCTGATAAAAACCGAATGAGAAAAAATTGTTTGAAAATGCCCTTAAGACTTTCCACTTCTGTATTAATATGTGAAACCTGAATGGCAATAGAATAGGTTCTATCTGTGACATAAATACAGATAAAGATTGTAGTGAAGCTAATGTATCCACAAATTTGAACTACAATAAGGTGTATGTTTCTGAGTATGGTATGCCAACCTCCATCAGAATATTGGATCTCAAAAGTAAACCATACAAACCAGTACATCTAAATTTACAGCAAGGATTCATGAAAAACATGCAGTGTGCAGAATATATATATATATATATATATATATATATATATATATATATATATATATATATATATATGAAGGTTTGAGCTAATTGTGGTTTCAGAATATATGAAGTTAACTTACTCTTACTTCGAAAGTGGAGTCATCAACCAGCATATCGGTGGTCTTTGCTTTTAGATCTTGTTTCAGCATATTCTTCACCTTTTTACTGACAACCAACATCGAGCCGTCCTCATTGTGGATATGTTTCTTGGAAAAGCGATCAGGAGCAAGTTGAGAAATACTTTTTCTCACAGGAGCCATTATCCCTACAATTAACAAGTGATTCGCTCTTTAAACATAGTTCTGCTATATATGCATAGATTTTTAATGGAGAAAAATCTAAGCCATAGTATTTGAGCTTTGGGGGGGGGGACTAAGTCATATATATTTTACCCAATGTCTTCTGTTGGATATATTGCCTTCCTTTATCCAGTCTCAAACAGCATAGTAGACACCTCAAGAAAGTTTCTGGATGTGATGCAATAAAGTTATATGATAAAAACTAGATCCTGACAGTGACCGCAAGCACGTCCATTCACTAGAAAATGAGACATATGTACTGTGTAAGGTCTAATGATACCTGACTACCCAAACCTCTGTAAGTTTATTGGTGTCCAAACCCACGACTCGCTCGTCGAACATATCCCGCCTAGACTAGTGAACCACATCAATAAGATGTTTGCCTAATCAGAGTTAATAACTTTCTACGGAATATTTCACTTTCTTTATTATATTTGTCACGCAGTTTAGCGATATTATTCACTGGATAACGTTTCAGCCATAATTTGTTGTCCATACTGATATCAAGCTATTTCCACAACTTTGAGAAAGCACTTATATGCTTTTAATCCTCTTTGTTGCTTCGTGGTATGGGTAGCAGGATTTTTGTTCCTGAGGAGCAGTTTGAAACAACCTAATGACTTCTCACCAGTCTAATCTTACTTCAGCTAAAAGTGCATATTCAGGTAGGTTTTGGTTAGGCATAAGCAACACATGTCTCAGCTGCCTCAACTGAAGATTTACAACCACATCAAGAGACCTACGTTCCTTAGCCAGTACTTCATACCTAACTTTAAATTGGCTAATTCCACAACACGTGAGCAATTCCATGAAGACACCTGTATTAAAAAATACGTGACTTCATATCCCCCAAGACGCTTTGATTCTGCAAAACGTGAGGGAGATTTGCCTTGAGATAAATACCTGGGTATTTCTCAACTAGCTATTCAGCTATTCCGACTCTCCTAGGCTTAAAATCTTACCTTTAAAGGTAGGAGCCCAACACCATATTATTCCGAAAAGCTGAATAAATTGGTTAGCCCTTATTATGCATGTTTTGTAGCTTCTGATTTCAGCCACTGCTGAATCACACTCACTCAGTTAGCAATCAGTGTATGTTTGCGTCGTTTAAGTGCATCTACAAAATTGACAGGAGCCTGTATTCGCAATTATCCTTGGTGATGAGAAATCGGAAGTTGTCGAAAAGTTTGTGTACCTGAGCAGTTGTCCGAGTGCGGGTGGAAATGTGACTGAGATTTTCAACCACCTATTGAAAGCCATAGCAGCAGATGCAGATTTGGATGACTGGCACCATCATGGCGTTAACTGTGCTGTAAAAAGTTAGGTATACAATGGGTCGATGCGGACAATTCTGTTCAACATCTGTATAACCTGGACTTTGTGAGCTGAGGTAGACAAGTTTCAGACCTATTCGTGGATACATTGGACAGATGTTCATCTTCTACCAGGTTCTGGAACACAGGCTTACTTAGCAACGCCCGACGCCAGCAGTATTCCTTGACCTGAAGGCGGTATTCCGCTCCTTCGATCAGGAAGCCACATGGTAGTATTTTTCATCAAAATAGATGCCGACTAAATACACAAATTTGTTAGAATGTCGTATTAGAACACTCGGACATGTTAGAGTCTATGGTTAGGTATCAGGTGAGTTGTCCGTAGCAAGTGGTGGTGTACACCAAAGTATCCACTTCGTTTCCACTTGATGGACTTCATTATTCTCACATTCCTTCTGGTTCAATATCTATAAATTCCTACCACTTCTGACTACTCCCACCTTTATTTTTCTTCCTCTAACCTGTCTCCTATCTCAGTCCTGACATAAAGTGCGGTAAATTGGTTGTTGACGCTGACTGACACGGTATGATTTCAGTACGCAGGAGGAATACTCTGGAAACACCTGTGGTTAATAACTCGTAATTACTTTGTCTGAAATATCAAGCAACTCAGTGGCTTGAGATGATGGTAAATATGGCTTAGGATCAAAAATAGTAGCAATCACGCCACAACTTTCTCATTTTTTCCATCAGCAAAAAGCACAAGTAAATTAGTAAAATAACTCCTCAGATGAATTTACCAGATAGCCTCTTAGATAACCCATTTGTTAGTTTTTATTCGCCTATACATTGTACCTTCTTAATGTCACTGAACGCTATGAAGATGCTGAAATATAGGACGGCTAAATAAATATCAATAAAAATGGGTGCGGTACACATCACGTGTCATAGATATTTTTAGGTTACAAGGCCAGAGTAGTTTCATTTATTAGCATTGGTTTCGAAAAAGTGGAATTTTAAAGAGGTAAAATAAATCTTTTAGTTTATCCTGTCATCAGTCCCAAACATTCTTAAACACACAACCACACAAACTAATACAACAAAAAAGTATATCCAATTTCCTGTCTAGCAATAGTTAGTGGAAGAAATTTAGAAAGGAAAGAAGAGAAAAATCGATGGACGTCCCAACAGATTAATGGTTGAAAATAGTCGTGATGCAGATATTGTACTGTAAACACTAGCATAGAGTAAATATTCTAGTAATAGGATAATATAAAACTAACCACTAGTAACAGTATTTCAATGAAGGACATATTGGAAAAATAACTAGCACCAATTATGTAGTACTGGATACAGGTTTCTTTCTAATTTTAAACTTCGCCTAGAGTACCTATTTATTATCATTCTTGAGGCTGAAGACAAGCATTCGTTTTCGTAGTTGTATGAAGCGATTGAGTCAACAACTTTATAGAAGATTATGACTTTTAGTCTCCAACTTTATGAACTGATATGTTCACTAAGCGAATCTGTCTGCGATAAAATGTAATTGTTTATTATAAACGGGGATTGGACATTAATGACACATATCATATCGAGTATTCACTGACAATTTCATTATGGTTGACTTTCTCAATGCTTCCATCAGTTGGTTACCTCACATACAATGGAATACTATCAGGCGGCAAAGATAAGCGAATTATAGTTGATTAGCATCGTAATTTATTTTTATATTATGAATGATTTATACAGGCGAAAACCAACAAGTTGGTAGAAGAGGCGAGGCAGCGAAGACAGGACTTCTTTCTGGTGAACGTAGAGGAGATAGAGGTGAGAAGATACCCAGCCAACAACAGCAACAATCACCATCAGCGGAATAAATCTGAACGTTGTTTCTTTCACCTACCACCTAGGCAGCATCGTCTCAACTACAAGCGGTGACACAGATGAGGATGTCAAAGCAGCCAGCATCGGAAAGACAGCAAGACAGGCCTTCCTGCATCAATCTGAAACCAGTGTAGGGATCCACTGCACTGCACTACACTCAGCATGAAGCGTGAACAACATCCGGATTTCCAACACTAATGTCACATCAGTGCTTCCGTGTGATGGCTCAGAAACTTGGCGCGTCACGAAAAAAAAGCATCTTCAACAAACTACAGATGTACATCATCAACAGCTGCCGCCTACCCTCACTCGATACTAAAGATCAAATCAGATGACCAGAATAATAAGAATAAGCAACAAGCAACTCTGGTTGTCTGGCAACGAACCAACCAAGAACCTATCACCCAACTAATATACAGAAGAAAGTGGAGATGGATTGGACTGGGCATACACTGAGGTCATTTGGGGACATCACGTGCCTGGCAGAGCCCCCGAGTGGAACCCAAAGGGGAAACGACGAATTGAGCGTCCGAGGCGAGGGTAACATCAAGGAGATCATGTGAGGAAGAAATGAAAGCTTGTGAGCAGTCGTGGAGCCAGGTTCAAAAGACTGCAGAGAAGAGAGTGAAATGGCGATGTGGTACTGAAGCCCTGTGTTCCACTAGGAACCCATGGGACAAATAAGATCATAATGATAATAATGACAATAACAGAGTCGCTTATTTTGTATGGTCCCGGACTCTTCAGGAGGATGGCCAAAAATATATTATTAGTACAACACTGGAGGATCAGAGGGGATATGATCATAATGTACTGCATCGCCCATAATCCCCTGCATCCCAACAGATCCCTTCTAAGCTCTAGTCGGAAACGCGACTTGAGGGATCACCCGTTAAGAATAGAGCATGAGAGAGCAAGTACAAAGATCCGTGCTAACTCATTTGCAATTAGTCTGTAAAATGTGGAATTCCCTCCCTTCAGCATTTAGTACAGACCCATGCCCTGATACCCTTAAAAGGAGGCTGGACGCACACCTCGAGTCCTACGGTAACGATGGGCTATACTCGAGAAGCTTTCCACAGATCAGATGCAGTAATACTAACTTGAGACCAGATTAATTAATTAATCGTATCTCTATCCTTTCAGGTTTTTCAGAACCGGGAAGATAATTGTGACCATCCCAAACTCAGAACGTATTCCAATAAGACAGACGCAGAACCCAAGGAACCGCAGTTCGCTAATTCTACAACACGAAGTTCGAATCAGATAATTTCGTTTATCTCATTATCTAACCTCGTTTATATGATGGTTGTATTAGATACGATTACTAGTCACCATGATCTGACAAACGCTACAAATGTAAGAATTTAACCAATAGATTAGATTTAGACGTTAAGCAGTTTAAGCACAACCCAAAGACCATTTGAAGTGGACTGAAAGGTATTTCAGGCACACCAGTGTTGTTCAAGGTTATAAGAGAAAAACCCAGGGAACATTATGAATTTTTCACGAGAACATTAAGGTTTCGAAAGGTTAGTGCAAGACGCGATGAACACCACCCAATAAATAATACCTTAGATGTGCGAACGTTTTTCAAATACGCCACACCTGAACACGTGGTAAATTCAATATCCAATGTCTGTCTAACGAAGTTGTGTCAACCAGTTCACTTATTTGTGCTGGCTTCCTGCTCTTGCAGAGCGGTTCCAGGACTTTAGCGTATTCTGATGCAGCAGATCCAGCCACTCGTCTTCCATAACTCTGGTATAAAGAACAGCATCCATATTATTGTAGCGTCAAATACTTCCACAAAATCAATTGCCTAGGGTTCAACGACATTCAACATTGATGCTGATCTTGATAGTTTCACTGGACTCGCTAAGCTGAAGGCACACAATCAAGCATCCTAGCCATTTGGCACGCTGCCATGTTACGTTGCACTGCCTGTAATCGACTGTCTAGCCAGTTAGTTGGAACGCATCGGTATTTTGGCACAACCATCCAAATATACTATTCCATCCGACTACGCCATCGTGTTCTTCCTTGCTCTCGTATTCGTGGGTACATAACAAGTTTGAATAATTAGTGACTGGCCTCAGCGTCTGTCAACTCCGTAACAGGATAATTCCTAAATTGGTGAGCCCGACGTGATCACATATCCCGACCAATAACAAATATTGAATTGGTTAGCTTGTTCCATTTTGTATTTGTATATTGTTTTCGTTCCCATAACATTTATATATCCATTTACTACACTTTCTCATGTCCGACCACACTCCCAAGCTTATTCGTATTAAGCCGACTACAAACACGATCCAACTCGTGACATATTGGCCAGACAATGCAGGAACAAGGTTTCTGTATGCCGAGGCAGATTTTAAAGAACAGAGATCCTCATTCTCGATTTCTCGCTGTCATACGTTTACTACCGTGGGAATTAAACAGGTATGTCACAGCACATACGGTTAGTCCCGAAGTAAGTGATCCATATGCACTTCTCGAAGCCGCACTCTTGAAAAAAGCGATCTCACAGATCGCCAGCGCCTAGACGAATTACTTCGTAACATCGAGCTAGGCAGCCACTCAGCTGCTGAAGTCCTCGCACGCATGCGAGAATTTGTCGGTGCACGAACATTCGACAATGGCCTTTCCCGAGAACTATTTCTCTCAAAACTACCACAACCAGTGCAAACCGTGTTGGTGACACTTCAGTCAGTCCCACTAGATGACCTGGCAGCCTCGGCAGACAAAATGCTGGAGATTTCCAGCAGACCCGTCTCCAACGTATATTCTGTCTGCAAAATACCAGAGAGCCAGGATTCAGAGGTGACCGAGCTGTGCAACTCTGTTAAACAGTTGCTACGAACTCGGGGACCTAGTTTAAGTACCACTTCACAGAAACGCACGTTTGCTCATGGCAGCAACTAGTGTGGTTGCCCCAAAACCAAACCTAACAGGGTAGAAAGCACGAGATGGTGCTAGTTTCACAATACTAATGGTGCAGAGAAAAGGCTGGAAGCGAGGAAAAACAATATGGAATAGAGGGACATGTATAATGAAGTTTTAGAAATCTAGAGCGAAATAGATGCATCTAAGACAGTGACCAACCTTTGGTGATACTACTTATTCGTTTTCATGGCCATAAAAATAATTCATCATGACATAGGCACCAATAAACGCCTGGATTGCAAATACTACTCACATAAGGACATCATTAGGGCTTATACATATCCAATCCAAGTTAAAATTTGGTTTCAAAAAAAATTGGCATTGCGTGATATTATTTTGATAATTGTACTTTCCAATGAATGTAAAACAATACAAATTTGTATTATTTTACATTCATTGGGAAATGCAACACCAAAAGCTTGCAAATTAGAACTTCTACCAACCCACCCTTACTAAGCTGAAAGGTAGTGAACAAACGTTTTGATCAGTTTAGTAGGAGGTCAACATAAACTGAGTTAATTTTGTAGCCTAGAATTCTGCATATAGAATTAGCACTTTCCACCTGGTGGTTCAACCAGTGATCAGCGACTTTTCAAATAAATCAGTGATTATCTATAATCCTAGTACATCATCCTGATTTCACTGATTACACTACATGTGCGTAGAGTAATACTAAACGAACTGCTAAGTTGCGCGCTGATCTTTTTATGGGCTTTTAAATGTTACTTAAGGCACAAGTGGCGTACGCAAGTAAAATTGATAACAACTTTCCCCATAAGTGCTAAAACCGCGTCAGCTGCCTATCCACTAGAAATGATGTAACCAGTGAAGAAATACATTTGATCAGCATATTCAAACGTTTCGCTTTCCACTTTCAGATATGACATTGATGCACACAAGCTCAGTAGTATTATTTGAAAACGAAAGGTGATAAACTCATCCCAAAAAATAGGCTCACTGCAGTTTAAGGTCTTAGTTAGATTTCATGTTTTCCCAATGCTTAGATCTAGGTGTCTTTTGAATGCTCCAAGCCGATAAAATCTTCAAAAGATCAATTCTAATTAAATCGCATGCAACATCCACAATTACATTAATCGTCACATTAAACAAAACTGTAGCCGTTCGGAAGTATGGTTGCAACGCAGTGACGAGTATCTGAGTATGCAAAGCAATTTTATCGCCAGAGAATTCCACTGTCAGATATTGATAAAATTCAGGTGTAGCACTAAGAATTCAACAACTATGTACTAAATTGTAAGATACTGTCTGGTTAAATGCTTGTGTAGCCGTGGCTCATTGGTCTAAGCACTCACTTTCTTAGAAAGTGAAGAAGGTGAGCTAGCAATGTTGGATTGCAAGATTAAACGAACACAAGACAGAAGTTTGGAGACTAGTGTCTATAGGAAACCTGACCATTCAAATCGTTACTTAGACTTCGAATCCTCCCACCCCACCCCATCCCAGTTAAAGTAGACCTAGTTGAATGCCTAAGTGATAGGGCGAAATAGCTTACTAGTAGACCGGAAAATCTACGACAAGAAATTAGGCACATCAAGAATACCTCGCATCTCAATAATTACCCACCAAAATTTATCATTAAATTCATAAGAAATCAAAAGAAAAATAGCAGTGGTAGTAGTAGTAGTAATACAGATGCTACCAATAATAATCCCACTACTAGTGGTAATAATAGCGACAGGGTTAAAAGAGAATTCAAAGCCTCTGCTGTGTTGCCATACAAAGAAGGCACCTCAGAAGCATTACGAAGAATTTTCAATAGGCTGGGATTACAGTGGCATTCAAACCAACAAACTCACTTAGAAACAAGCTTTGTAGGTTAAAAGATCCTATCGATGCAATTAGGCAGAATAATCTGGTCTACCAGATTCCTCGCAATGATTGCGAGGTCAAATACATAGGTCAAAGTAGTCGACCCAGGTCGATTAGAATAACAGAGCACAGAAACTTAGCTAAATCAAGATCAGTAGATCCTAATAAGATAAGAAATCTAGAGAAAAACTCGGCCATAGCTCTGCATGCGATGACACACAATCACACAGTAGGGTGGGATAGGGTGACAGTGTTGAAAACTAACTTAGTTGGGTGAAGGGAGAGATTGATAACCAAGTCTTTGTTTATCGAATCAGCACCGAATACATGTCATCGAAATAATTCTGCACCTGTCCCAGATATATGGAAATTCTACTCTTGTCATCACAGAGGAGGGAAAATTAGGAATATATAAAGTCTGTCTCGAAGTTGTGGAGTTACCTGACATGAATATGGACAATAAATTGTGTCCGAAACGTTATCCAGTAAATGATACTGTTTCACTGTGTGATATTTCCATGTTTCAACTGTTGAGGTCTGAAATAGCTGGGTGGTACCATTAGTCCTCACGCAATAGATGTGGTTCTCTGCCTACTGCATCAGTGTGCACGCATTTACCGAGTGGCTTTCGACCTTTGATTAGTTGCTTGAACAATAAACAAATTACAGTTGTTGCGACGATACATTTATGGGCTTACTTCATAATAAAAGAATATGTGCTTAATCAGCCTGATCAGAAATTATTTGTTTGAAGAATCGTCACCACCCAAAAGCGAACTGTCATTTGTTACCAATCTAGCATTCGGTTAACGATACAGCAATATAGTCTTATCACCAACTGAAACCGTACACAGCAATGCCTGTACCTTGGAATCTACTTGAGGGTGAACTCAACTGTACTAGTTTTGTTCATATATGTAGATAGCCCTAGTGATGTTTCACAAGATTACGGATCCTAAGATCTTTAAAGTCTTGTTTGGCTGATACCTTATACATGCATTTATACTAGGTTATGGACAAAATCCAATGTGAGGGCCTATGACAATACCCAGTTGCTCATATCAAACCAGCCACAGCGAAATCGCAGCGCAAAACCCATTGCATGAGAGCTGAGCACCTAAAACAGAAGTGTGTCAATTCAAGTCTTCACAGTTCACCGCAGATAGCAAAGAATTAGGTGTAAAAAGTGATATTAAGATATAGATGGAGGTTAATGAGAATACCCAGAACTTCAGTGACAAGTGTATACATGAGTCAGTGACCGATTTCCAACCACCGATCGTTTATAGGGGTTTGGTCACTCAGCATATGCCTTGCTACATGATTCAAAACAACAGTTAGGCTCTTGTTTAGGACTCCCTCAGCTGTCTTCGAATCTGATCCTCCATTGACTTATATCGTGGAAAGTGAACTATTAAAATTACGTCTCTCCGACAGACTAATTCCTATCCCAGTCAAACTCGTAGCTTTGACCCACTTCATACAGCTATCTAGATAGGTCATTTGAACATAAGACTTCCTTACTTCAAAACACTTCAAGCTCTAACAATTTTCTAGAGAAAGTACCACTCCCCGAATTGGATATGTTGACAAATGAAATAGCACTGTTAGTATACGATGCCCTATCCATTTGCTTCCGGATACTAAAAATGAGGTTATTCAATAACGAAATTCCAGGTAACTATGACGCAGGCGGAAAATTTCTGAAACAATGGTCTTCTTGACCAATATCTTATAAATTTCACTAACATCCATCGCTTGGTTTTTAAACAATAGGAAATCAGAACTAACAAACACAAGTGAAGGCTGACTAAAGCCCCAAAATACCTTTCTTATAGAGTACAATTAGATGACCTCGAACTTCTAAATGTAGTGAGTCTGAAAACGGTGACCAATGAAGTCCCTCCTCAAAATCAAGCACAGGAAAAATGAATGGCTGGAATCTGATACGTGTCAAGCATGAGGTGTCAACGAATCACCTCATATTCAGATGGAGAGGGAGAACTACCTTAAATTCCGAAATGGCATTTTGTCGGTGCAAACAGCCTATATGAAGCAAGGCAGCAAGCTATGTGATACATATGGAGCGAACATGGAACTACTGAATATTTTTATTCCGTTTCATGTTTACATCCTATTTCTTTAACAGCTTTGCCAAACTTCAGACTTTTTAACCGTGTTGCTCCACGTTGGGTGACATGGATTCAAACTTGGTAATCTGCATGATTCCTTACAATGAAGTGGGCAGAAAATAAACACCCCTTAGATTGGCTAAAAATCACATGTATAGATCTCTCCTGACCAACTAGGATTCACTGAGTAAAAGCTTAAGCCGTACCTCAGGAGGTACAGTATCTTCCAGATATTATTAGAAATCCCTATGTGCGCCTTAAGTTTTTACTTAAAATTGTAAGAGGTACGTGTTTCTAGAGTCTCGTCAGTGCGCATGAAGTGTAAGAAGCACCACCTAAGTTGCTATTATAGAGCCGTCTTCAGGAACACTGTTTCTTTGTAATAGAATGCGTCTCCACGAATAAAACCTCTTACAATGCAAGATTTAGCAGAAACTAAATAAAAACTTGGGAAATAGCCTGTAAGTTATCGAGTATAAACTTACTAGTCATTGTGGAGTGCCCCCGAAGTATATTTGGGATGATGCTCAAGTATCGTTTAACTCAGTGCACGCTGAGTGTGGACCCCGAGACAGAGCAGCTCAGGTCAAATATATCAACGGAGACCCACTTCACTAAGCCTCTTAAAATAAGATTCAAGTATTCTGAAACTTGTATGATCTAGTACACTGGAAATATAAGCCAACTCAGAATCACGTTTAATGACACTTCAGAAGCTTCGAGCATTATCGTAAACATACTTCGGGGACACTTTTGAGCTTCAGAGATATCCCCTAAGTGTTGCGACATTTTCCGCTAAAAATCCATTGTTAGGATTTTCAAGCGAAGCTTAAACTTCACTGGGCGAATAAATAAAACTACCTCATCCCTGATTAGATGAAAGTGAAACATCCTACGAAACTAACTTCCAGCTTCTGTATTAGTAGTGGACCACAACTCTCTTCATCTACATGATCATCCACAGAAGCACTGCTTTCCTGAACTGCCATCGATAGTGCTAATAACGCGCCTAATTGAACGAAACTATCATTGTGATATGATAAAACAGTACATTGCTTTAAGTCCAACAAGTAACAAAATTAAAATCTATTTCGTTCATCCAGTTTGATTTCCATTCCATCAGTCATTCTTTTATATACATTGGCACCATATAAAGTTTTAATTCAACACTTTTGTCCAAAACAGAATCATCCATTTCGAAGCTGAAATACAATTTAGGTTTAGCTGACATTGGCAAATGGAGGTAATTGACTATGACTAACGTTGAAAGTGTGCTCAGGTAAAATCCTCAAAAATTAGGTAGGCAGTTCCTAGACTACAAACTGGTTCCTAGACTTTACACCTGTAACGTCACACACTTCCCCAAAATCAATTGCCTAGGGTTCAACGACATTCAACATTGATGCTGATCTTGATAGTTTCACTGGACTCGCTAAGCTGAAGGCACACAATCAAGCATCCTAGCCATTTGGCACGCTGCCATGTTACGTTGCACTGCCTGTAATCGACTGTCTAGCCAGTTAGTTGGAACGCATCGGTATTTTGGCACAACCATCCAAATATACTATTCCATCCGACTACGCCATCGTGTTCTTCCTTGCTCTCGTATTCGTGGGTACATAACAAGTTTGAATAATTAGTGACTGGCCTCAGCGTCTGTCAACTCCGTAACAGGATAATTCCTAAATTGGTGAGCCCGACGTGATCACATATCCCGACCAATAACAAATATTGAATTGGTTAGCTTGTTCCATTTTGTATTTGTATACTGTTTTCGTTCCCATAACATTTATATATCCATTTACTACACTTTCTCATGTCCGACCACACTCCCAAGCTTATTCGTATTAAGCCGACTACAAACACGATCCAACTCGTGCCATATTGGCCAGACAATGCAGGAACAAGGTTTCTGTATGCCGAGGCAGATTTTAAAGAACAGAGATCCTCATTCTCGATTTCTCGCTGTCATACGTTTACTACCGTGGGAATTAAACAGGTATGTCACAGCACATACGGTTAGTCCCGAAGTAAGTGATCCATATGCACTTCTCGAAGCCGCACTCTTGAAAAAAGCGATCTCACAGATCGCCAGCGCCTAGACGAATTACTTCGTAACATCGAGCTAGGCAGCCACTCAGCTGCTGAAGTCCTCGCACGCATGCGAGAATTTGTCGGTGCACGAACATTCGACAATGGCCTTTCCCGAGAACTATTTCTCTCAAAACTACCACAACCAGTGCAAACCGTGTTGGTGACACTTCAGTCAGTCCCACTAGATGACCTGGCAGCCTCGGCAGACAAAATGCTGGAGATTTCCAGCAGACCCGTCTCCAACGTATATTCTGTCTGCAAAATACCAGAGAGCCAGGATTCAGAGGTGACCGAGCTGTGCAACTCTGTTAAACAGTTGCTACGAACTCGGGGACCTAGTTTAAGTACCACTTCACAGAAACGCACGTTTGCTCATGGCAGCAACTAGTGTGGTTGCCCCAAAACCAAACCTAACAGGGTAGAAAGCACGAGATGGTGCTAGTTTCACAATACTGATGGCGACAAAGCCAGGAAATGTCGGAAACCGTGCAGTTTTAACAAGGACACATACTCGGGAAACTGTCACGCCTGCACGTGTTCACGGCAACCGTAGCCGGCGGAAACAGCCGTTTGCTCTACGTCACCGACATCAAAACGAAAGTCCGCTACCTCGTCGACACCGGCGCAGAAGTTAGCGTTCTTCCCGCACCGACAAAGGAGCGTCATCACGACCCATCCTTCAATCTTCAAGCAGCCAACGGCAAGGCAATCGCGACATTCGGGAGACAGTATGCCTACCTCAACTTAGGTTTACGTAAACCTATCCACTGGATTTTTCCCTTGCTGACGTCTCTATGCCCGTCATTGGCATAGATTTGCCAAACCATTACGATCTACTCGTAGATGCTCGCCGTCGACGACTGATAGATAACAACACAAAGTTACCTATTGGCGGCACCACCTATGTAGGTCCGAGTTTAGCCATCGTTAGAACCAAACAATCAGGCAACGCGTCCTACCAAGCAGTTTTGGAGAAATATCCAAAGTTGCAGCAACCGAAGCACACTCTTCCGTGCATAACCAGCAATGTTATGCATCACGTCACAACCACAGGTCCACCTGTGGCATCCAAAGCGCGACGTTTAGCCCCCGATAAGCTCAAAACGGCGAAAGGCGAATTCGACCACATGCTCGAACTGGGCATTATCAGACCGTCAAACAGTCCTTGGGCATCGCCATTGCACATGGTTCCCAAAAAGGATAGCAACGACTGGCGTCCAACCGGTGATTACCGAAGGCTTAACGCCAAAACAACTCCGGACTGCTACCCAATACCTCACGTTTACGATTTGACTGCAACCTTATGCGGAATGAACATTTTCTCAAAATCGACTTGGTCAAAGCGTACAACCAGATACCTATGGCAGCAGAAGATATCGCGAAAACAGCCATTATTACTCCTTTTGGCCTGTTTGAATTCCTGCGCATGCCATTTGGTCTTCGGAATGCAGCACAAACATTCCAACGCTTTATGGATGATGTCTTCCGTGGTTTGAATTTTGTTCATGTCTACATCGATGACTGTCTAATTGCGAGTCCAGATAAGGAAACTCACCTTAAACATTTGGACCTCGCATTCGAAAGACTTAAAAAACATGGCATCACAGTCAACTTACAGAAGTGTGAAATAGGAGTTGAATCACTCAGCTTCCTTGGGCATACCATTGACAACAAAGGTATACGCCCATTGAGAGATAAAGTGGCGGCTATCACAAACTATCCAGAGCCGACCACTGTGAAACATCTCCGCACTTTCAATGGCCTGGTAAGTTATTACCGAAGGTTTATCCCTAACTGTGCCTCTGTCATGAGACCACTAACAGATCTACTTCGAGGAACTACGAAGTTCGTGGCTCTGGACAACGCGGCTAGACTTGCTTTCTCTAAAGTCAAGGAAGCCATTTCGAACGCAACTATGCTTATGCATCATGACCCCAATGCTCCTTTGAGTATTGCTGTTGATGCATCTGATTCAGCAATTGGAGCAGTTTTGCAACAGTTGACTGACAACCAGTGGCAACCGTTAGCCTTTTTCTCGAGGCGGCTGCAAGACGCGGAAACAAGATACAGTACATTTGGTAGGGAACTCCTAGCTATGTACTGTTCTGTACGCCATTTTCGACATTCGGTGGAAGGTCGTGATTTCATTATTTTCACAGACCACAAACCGTTAACCTTTTCCCTCAGCTCGGCGTCTGACAAATACTCCCCACGTGAGTCACGACAGCTGGATCACATTGCCCAGTTCACTTCAGACATCCGACACATTTCTGGGGCAAATAAGTCTGTAGCCGATGCACTATCTTGAATGGCTTCGATAAACCATATCGAAGACGTAGATCTCGTTGAACCAGCTCGGCGTCAAAAGGAAGACCTTGAGCTGCATCATGAGTTGTTGTCCACAACTCTCAAGTTGCGACCGTGTGCGGTTGGATCAGACAAGGATAAAATTTTGTGCGATGTCTCTGGCAGTCAACTTGGTCTGATAGTTCCGAAGAGTTGGCGACGCAACGTCTCCAATATGTGCACGAACTGTCCCATTCGGGTGTACGAGCCACCATCAGTCCTATTGCACGACGTTTCTGCTGGCCTGGGATGAACAAAGACATTAAGGTGTGGGCTCAGTCGTGCTTAGCTTGTCAAAAATGCGAAGTCAGGAGACACATGAAAAGCCCCCTAGGTCCTTTTCCAGCCCCATACAAGCGTTTCGACCGTTTCCATATAGACACTGTAGGACCTCTACCAGAATCTGATGGATGCGCCTACCTTTACACCTGCGTGGATCGTTCCACACGATGGCTGGAAGCGGTGCCTATTAAGGATATTACTGCTGGAACAGTAGCTCATGTTTTCGTCGAAAGAGGGATCGCGAACTTCGGATGTCCATCTTACGTCACAACCGACAGTGAGAGCCAATTCGAGTGTGGATTATTTCACGCTCTAACTGCACTTTCAGGTTGCACTCGGTTCCGAACGACGGCCTACCATCCACGAGCAAATGGTATGGTAGAGTGTTTCCATCGACAGCTGAAAGCTTCATTTTCAGCTGCAAACATACCTCAGTGGACCGAGGCTCTGTCTCTGGTCCTACTAGGTATTTGTAACGCCTTGAAAGTTGATGCCGGATGCACCCCGTGTGGAACTCGTCTATGGGACCACTCTTCGCCCACCGGGTGGGTTTGTTTCCCCTTCAACTTTCAAACATGTTTCCGACAGGGCATCTTACGTGACTAGGCTTACAAACGCAATGCGTTCAGTTAGGCCTTCTCCGGTTAGACCTCAAATGACTGATGTCTTCGTTCACCCCAGTTTACAATGGACATCACACTTGTTTATTTGCCACGACACCGTTCGTCGACCACTTGAACCACCCTATGATAAGAAGTATGGTGTGTAATTTCTGTGAACCTACTTCACTGACTTTCGTGAGCATTCGAAGTTAGAAACTGGCAGGGTACTGAGTGTTGCTATCAGTGACACCAAAAGTCTTTGGAAAACTGGTGCACGAGTATGTCAGCCAACTAGAATTGATAGCTTACACTCCACAGGTTTCAGCATGGTTTGGGAGATTTGGTTGGTTTGCCTGGGACTACGGTGCAGCTGGCTACTTTAGATGTTGAGTTGCCAGGCAGTTGTTCAGATTGGTAGCCAGAGATGGTCAGGGATAACGGGAAGACAACCCACGAAGACGAATGTGTATGAATGAAATACAAAAGAAAGTGAACTTACGGAGTAATTTACTTTCACCCAAGTAAGACGAGAGGATCGGAAAGATATGAAGAACTTAGGTAGGTGAAGCTAACTCATATCTAACGAAAGGAGTGACAAGGGCTTGGGTGATTACGGTGGGAAGAAAACTGGTGCAGAGGTCACACAGTTGGGATGGTGTTACAGC